TACTGCATAATTTGGCGAATTTACTGAAAATGTGTAGGATTGAATTGTTTATTTAATTAATAATTTTACAATAGTTAATTAAATGTTTAAAATTTTTGTGTTAGTGATTGATTAGGCGAACATGTTTTTGTATCTGTGATTATAACATCCACGGTTCACAGATATATATATTTTAAATCCAAAAAATCATTTCTATAAGACCCTCTAAAAATTGTCAAAAAAGGTTGAGAGAGAGAGCAATTATTAATTCACAATTTAAGAAATTATTGTAACATGTATCTATTTTTACAAAAAATTACCATCTCCTCTCATATTGTAATTCACCCAAATAATAATTAGAATTTCCTTTTTCCATCTCCTTATCAAATTCATCCAATAATTTTGCATGTAGTCTTTGCCTCATTTCTATTGCTGAATTATATGAATGTTCAATTACTTGGCCATCAGCAAAAGAAGTTGCATTACGTGAAAAATACTTTAAAAAACAAACAGATTAATTAAATAAATATTTATTTTCAATACTTTTAATTTAGGAACTGTTGGAATATCATTTGCTCGACATATTTTTACATTATAAGCATCTGCACAGTTAATAGCGGCTACCTGGACAAAGGGCCAAGTTTTGACTGCTCCAGCTAAAACTTTGTACCAAGGCATAAAACGACGACAATAACCACACCTTTAAAATATTTTCTTTTAATTCCTTTTATTCATTTACCAATCCTTATAAAATTCCACTAGATAAGCCTTTTCCTTGTCCGGCCTCAATACTGTGTCCACAAAAGTGTCTGCATCTAAATGAATTATTGGATCAGTGCCAGGTTCATATAGCAATGGATTGTTGCCCTTTAAATATTTTTTAGAAAATATTTAAAATTTAGGAACCTTTGGCCTGTAGTTTATGTTAGAAATGCTTGCTTGTACATAATAATAAATAAATAATAAATAAAATAAAATAATTAAAAGCTTTTCCATTTTAAATTTAAAAATAATTAATAAATCTATATAAAATTAAAAGAAAATTTTAATTTTAAAGACAACAGTCTAATTAATTAGAGAAAATTAATTAGAAAAAATAATTTTAATATTATTTTTTAAATATTTTATTTAAAATAAACAATCATTTTGGCAAAAATACAAAATTTAATTAATATATAGGTATTTTCTCTTTATATTAAATCACAATTTTTGTATTACAAATAATTTAGGGTAAGAATGTTTCAAAAAAAACTTTTCTTTTCTTCATTTTTACGTAAAAATTTACAGATAATTTTTATGAAATTATATTAACATGCGTGGTTAGTCAATTTATATATTTTATTTTAAATTAATCATTCCAAATAAATTTAATTTTTCTATTTTTGAAAGCAATCCCTATTAAATAAAAACGGAAAAATCGCCGTAATTCGTCGATTTACAATTGAATAAGCGCCGCCAATTAGTCTGTCGATTGATGTAAGTTTAAAAAATAAAAGAAAGAAAAATTCTGGGTGGGTGACGGAAGTGAAATTAATGAAATTATGAAAAGGGGGTTTAATAAAGGGTTATAAATAAAGATGTGAAGAAATAATTAGTCATTTTGGGGATCTATAGGTAAATTAAAATAAAAAACGTTCAGAAAATAAATTTAATATTAAGGAATAAAAATAAAAAGTTTAATTATGAGATTATATAATAAATTTAAAAAAAATAAATTATTCAAATTAAGAATATTAAAAATATGAAAATAAAAATTAGTATTTTAACGAACTAGAAAGGGCGCAGAACAACATTATCCCAGAACATACAGTGCCGGAAAAAAGGACGCATAACCGAAAAAAAAATTTAATTGTTAATTTTTAGTGTTGAAGCTTTTTTTCTAAAAGTTCATTAGAAATTAGTTAATCGAAAAAGACCAATTTATCAGCCTTTGCTCTTCTTTTTCTGGCACTGTATTAAGTAATTATTTAAATCAGTATGGGAAAAAATAAAGTATGGTTGTTAGTAAAATCTTTAAAGGATTATATGAGAGAATGATTTGAATATTACAAAATTATTTTAATTGAGGGAATATTTACAAGAAATTGGTAAAATTTAGATTTAATAATTGTCTGTCACTTTTTGAATAAAATATTTTTACGGAAGCTTCAGAAAAGCCTTAAACAATTAACAGTATATTTTAATTTTTTCAATATTTATTTAAGTAAACAATAGTAAAATCTTAGAAGAACTTTACAAAAGGTCATAAATGATTATATGATTAATAAAATAAAAAAAATGTCAAAAGAGCATGATTAGAATTAAATGCTTATTTTAAAAAGACATTTTATAAAATAATAAATTTGTTGCAAGGATGAATTTATAGTGATTAAAATTATCTATTCACTGTAGACATTTATTCCTTCCTAAAATATATAAAATATTTATTTTTAATTTTCAAATTTCAAGTATCTAAATAAAATTAATTTTTAATTTTTGAAGAAAATCAAGAAACACCCTTTCCCTTGAAAGCAACACTTTTAAGATTATTTTAAAATAAATAAATACTTCCGTTCAAAAGAAAATTTTTAAAATTTATAAAATATTTAAAAAAATAATTTCATAAAAATTCCACAGGATTGGATTTCAAAGTTTTCTTTGTGTTTTTATTTATTCTTTTAGTGACATTTTTATATTTAATTCCAAGTTCATTCTTCATGAACGCCCACAAATATAAAAATGTGTTCTTTTTTAATCTTTCAACTTTTACCTTTTTAAATGACAGGTGATCATCCTTTTATTTTGTGGGATAAATCTTTCATTGTTTGAGGATAAAAATAGAAGAAAAATTTTATCTGGCAAATGAAAAGGATAAATTACGTCAAACAAATAAAAGAAAAGATTAAACAAAATTAAAATTAACAACCAAACAAATTAGTGGATTTTCTTAAATTAAAAAAACCACAAGTTTTTAAAACTTGTCTGGGTATTTTCTGCTTTTATTATGTCAAATAAAATAATTAAAAATTGAATTATTGAATTTTATAAATAATTAAAATTTTAAATTACTTATGATATTTATATATTGTTTGTATTTATTTATTTAATTTAAAAATAAGACAATCAAAAAATTTAATTAATCAATTTAAATTAAATTAAAAAAAAATAAATTTTGTTTCTATTTTTACTAGTTTAGAAATAATTACCAAAATTGTTATTTCTAATTTTGGTAAAATAAAAAAAAATATTATAAATAAATTACTAAGGAAATTAAAAATGAAAATATTGTGAGTAATTTTAATTTTTCTAAAAATATTTTTGTTAAAATTTTGAAATGTGTTTTTATAAACTATAAAATAAAAGAATGACAATGAAAAGTTTGAAAAGAAATTTTTTTAAAGGGTGAAAACTTTAAACCTGAAATTTATTGAATTATTTTAATTTCCTTTATTTTTATGAACACCAAAATAACAATAAAAAATGATTAAAAGAATTAACGAGTGTTTATTTAAAAAAGAAAAAAAACCTCTTAACATATTTAGGTATTTTTGTTAAAAATTTTTATTTTCAATATTTTTTTGTTTGTTTGCTCAAAAATAAATTTATAAGGCATTGAACAAAACGTGAAATGAATTGAAAAAGGATTTATTATTTTTGGATTGTCGGGAGCAGAAAAATATAAAAAAAAGGAAAAAAGTGAAAATGTAAAAAAAATTTTTGGAAGAAAAAAAAAGAAAAATTTTTTCATTAAAATTCAAAATCGTACATACATATGTACAACTTTTAAAGTAAAAGTCAAGAAATATGTAGTTTATTATGTCTTAATATATTCTCTAGTACAATATATAATATAATTTGATATTTAAATGATTTTTATTTTTTATTTCAAAAAGGAAATTAAAAATCAATTTATTTTGAAATATTATGTCAAAAATATTTAATTCAAAATATATTTATTTATTTAAATTAATTTATTATAATCCAAATTCAGGATCTAATAAAAGTTTTTTGGTTGTTTCTTTGGAGAGATCAATTATCGAGATAATTTTTTAACAAAATATGATGGTTGAGTTGATGTTTAAAGAATGAAAAAATGAATGGAAAACAAGAATATGTTTTTGTTTTTTTATTAATTTAATCAATCTAATTAAATATTTAATATATCCGCCGGCAATGTTTAAGAAGAAATTACATATAATTAATATCTACATATGTTCAGATTATTTAATAATATAGAAAAGTTAATAATAATTTATATCGAAACATACACAATTATGAGCCATATTATAGTCACTTAATAGTTAAAAATGTATAATGGAGTATACTTCCATACCGTTAACTCAAAGATGGGTATATAAATTTGGAAAAATGTCTCAATTTAAAAAACTTTATCTAAGTAATATCCACTCCAATTTCTAACAAAATAAATTTTTAAAACGAAATTACGTTTTAAATTCATCCAATAATTAAAATTTATAAACTGTTCTATTATAGGTCTTCATGAACATTTTACTTAATAAAGTCTTAATTTGATTATTTTATACATAAAATTGCCATAAATATTAAAGATTTAACGATAAAAATTTTAAATGATATTAATAATTGAGTTATATAAAATAATTTATTTATAAAAAATTTAATTTAATAGAAACCATTTTATTTTGAAAATTATAAAAAAATATTAAATGCAAAATGGAAATATTTACTGTATAAACTTGAAATCAACCTTTTAAAAATAATTACATATATACTAATAGTAAATAGTATATCTGTGGAATAAATTTTGAACAAACTTTTAATAGAAAATAAATGAAAGTTACATGATACATGAGTAAAATAGTTAATAAAAAGATGAAGTCTTAATTTGATTATTTTATACATAAGATTGCCTTTTCAGTTGTTGTTTTGGGCTTGCCTTGGTCTCGAATTTTTTGAGATTTTTAGAAATTGTTATATCCTAAATGGTTAAAAAAAAGAATGCCAACAACCAACTGAACAACCAACCCTTAACAAACAGATTGATCAATTTTTATGCATATTTACTAAAATCCAAAGTTTTTATACTTTTTTTCCTCCCTTTGATTATTTCCAAGATGTACATTCAATAGTATAAAAGATAATTTTGCAGCATCAGAAATCATCCAAGTTTTAATTTTAAGTGGAAAATATTCCAATTTATATTTTTTACAGCCTGGGCATTTCCCCGAACAATTATTTTGAGATCGTAGAAGCTTCTCAAAATCGAGTGCCCAATCATGGCAATTATATTTTAATAAATCATATTTTTCTGCTGAAAAGAAGAAACGGACAGTAGTTTTAACATTTTCAGAAAGTTTTTCAATTTGACTAAACGTTAATCCCTCAGTGCAATGTACTTTCCAATCATAAATTACTTTTGATTTTTCTGGCCTTCCAAAGCTGAATATTCAGAAATTCTTGGGTAAATAAGATTCGAAAAACACACCTTACACGCACTCCATCAACTGTAAAATCATATGATCTATAGAATTCTTTCTCACAATAGTCACATTTATATTTAACTACAACAATGGAATGTGTAAGGCCTTAAAAATATTTTTTGAAAAAAATATTCGTAAATATATTTACCATATAAAAAAATACGATTACGCCAAATTTCAGTTGCAGTGGAGCATCTGTAATGCCCACAAGGTATTGTATCGCTAAAAATTTTAAATAATAATTTGGTAGTATTTTACTTTTAAAAATTAATAAAATTTTAGAGATAAATTGAATTTCTAAATAACAACGACGGCCTATCCGACATCGCCTCCTTCTAAGGGCTGCAAAATTCGGCTAACGGGAAATCTCGAGATTCCAGATAAACAGAATTTTTTCCATATCATTCCTCGATTTGAGGATATTCAAAAATTTTATTTAAAATAAATTTTATAGTAAAAAATACATAAATTACTAAAATAAAACATACATACGCCAACTATCATCGATTTTAGAATTCACACTTCCCATTTTTTAACAGAAAATAAAAATAAAAATTATTTTTTAAATAAAATGTTATTTTTCTAAAATAAAAAAATGCAAATAAATTTTAACTATTTAATAAATACTTTTTAGTTAATATTTTTAAATTTATGTAACATTTTATTAATTTAATACAATTTAATATTAATTTATTAATTTAATGTATTAATGATTTAAATAATTTTTGATTATTGCATAAAATTAATTTTATTTTTGTTTTAAGTATAAAATTAATTTAAAAATAATTTATTTTATTAAAAAGCAAATTGAAGGGAAAATAAATATAGTTTTTAGTGTATATTTGTTGGATAGAGCTGACATGGCTGTCAATAGTCTACTATTAAATAAGAGAGGATGAATGCAATTCCAATCGATGAATTCGCTAAAATAAAATAAAATAATAAATATATTTATATTAATTTAAATAAACATTGTTTGTTTTAAACTAAAATAAATAAATTTTTATTTAATTTAAAAATTTAATCTATAATATTTAACAAACAGCTCAAATAAACAGGGTTAGGAGGTATAAGGTCTAACAATTTATTTAAAGCAATAAATACAAAAAAATATTTCATTTTTATTAAAAATTTATTCTCTACATATACATATAGTAAATCCTCCGTATCCTCCGTTACTCTCCGACGTCTCTTCTCTCTTAAACATTGAAATTAGAATCTGGGTATAGTTATTTGAGTGATTCAACTATATTCATATTCTTCTCCTCCGTCTTCCTCTTCCTCTTCATTAATTATATTTTCCTTCAAAATATTTCCATCTTCATCTTCTCCCCACCAATCATTAACTTCATCAACTAATATTTGTGTCTTATTTAAACTTGCTTCTTCATTTGAGAGGGGAGGTGGAAATTCTTGCTCTTCAGTCTTTAAAATAAGAAAAATATTTTTGAAATTTTAATAAAATTTTGTTTTAAATTTTACTTTAATTGTGCTCTCCTCCAAAACGTAAATGGGAGAATTGGCACTGTGTTTATGTTGTTTTTGTCCAGAATTTATTTCACTTGTGGCTGTTGAGGTTTTTCGTGATAATGGTTGTTGGGGTAATGAAGTATGAGAGGTTGCTGAAGTTGGAGCAGAAGAACCGAGTCGTAACAAGGAACTGATTTTTCGTCGAGGAGGGCTCTAAATGAGGAAATATACAGGGTGACAAGAAAGTTCGGAGTGAAGTATTTATGTACATAACTTCAAACAAGATCATTCTACGGATATAAAATAGATATGATAACGTATATAAAATAGATATGATGCCTATAAGCTTAATTAAATTCTTTTGAAATCACGCAGATCTGACTTTCCAGCGTTGAGATACTGTTAGTACAATTTTGTGGAGGAAATTTTGGTATGCCTTACGGTCATGGCTATAACTTTTGTTATATCGAATAATATATTGCTTAATTTTGTAAAATAATAGAGAATTGAATGGGCTACAAAATGAGTATAAAATTATTTAAAAATGTTAAGTCTACAGAAAGTTATGGTAAATAAATACTCCACTCCGAACTTTTTTGTCACCCTGTACATATTTTTTATTAAATTTTAAAATTATCTAAATAATTTACATGTTCAATGCTCTTCACTCTTTTATTTACAATAATACTACTTCCACTGCCAACAGTTAATTGATTCTCTTCACTCTGTGATTCTTCTAAATCTGGAAGCAATTCATGAGCAGAAAGCTGGAAATTATTTTTTAAATTTTTTGTTAACAAGATTTTTGAAATAGAATCCAATTTAAAGGTTTAGTAAAGAAGAAAGCTTTTGAAATAAAATTCCAGAATCTCCTTTCTTTCCATCTTTAGAGTAATTATATAAATGTAAACTACCTGAAGTGTACGTTGTGTTTGAGATCTGTTTCGTTGTTGTTGACTAAAAGTAGAAGAGAAAGAAAATGGGGGAGGTGAAGACTGATCAGCATATAAGCGTTCAAAAGGGAGGGCTACAACTGATTTTTTAGATCCACTAGGTCTTTTAGCAAATCGACGTGATGCACCCTAAAATATATTTTTTTAAATTATTTTCTTCATTTCAAGATTTTACCTCCAAAATATCGCTTAAACTCGATTTTCTTTGTGGTTGATAATTATTATTATTTAATTCCCCAATATTTTCTTCTTCCAAAAATTCTTCCTTTCCATCAACATTTTCACCAACAAATTCTTTATCATCAACAATTTTAGATTGTTTAGAAGGGCTTATACGGGGAGAACCTAAACTTTGACGTTGGTGCCTTTCAATAGCAACTTTTGAATGAGCTGCTGCTAGAGTTGCTGAGTCGAAAGCTTGAAGGAAATAAAAAAAAAAGATTTATTTTTAAATAATCTTAATTTTTAGACTAGGCAAAATTATTTTTAAGGAAATCATTCATAATTTATCATATAAAAAATTATTTTTTGATTATCATTAATTTCTGAATCAGATTTTTAAATTAACTTTACCATAAATAGATTTTGCCGAAAATGTAAATGCTGATGGTTTATGAATAGGTACTGATGAACGGCTACTAGCTGTTTGTTGTTGTAATTGTTTTTGTTGTGTAAATTGTTGTTGTTGTTGCTGTTGAGATGGTGGCAGTCCAGGTGAACGCATTTGTCTGAGGCAAAATTCCAACCAAGTTTTGATTCTAAAAATAAAATTTTTAAAAATAAAAATTGTTTTTACGTTTGTTTTGCTACTTCCTCTTCAATTATATATTCAAGCTCTTCACGTTGTAAAAGTTCTTCTAATTGTAAAGACTTTCGAATATCAACACTTCGATATGAAAGCATGCTTAATAAATAATTTTCTTTTGTTAAAATTAAATTGTTTTTTACTAAAGAACATCTTGAAAGGAAACATCATCCCCATTATGTAATTTCTCCATTTCATAACACCTTAGAAAAAAATAATTTACAAAAAAATTTCTGTATACATACATATGTTTAAAGAGTAAACGATCTTTATTTGGATCTACTTCCAATCGTCCTTTCAATAATCTCAACAAAAATTTAACCCTTCTAACAGGTATTTGCCCTTTCTGTTCAACATCAACGGCATTCCAAACCATTTGAAAATTTCTAATATCTGCATAAGAAAGAAGAGCATCCTCCTCGGATGAATAAAATAAAGAAAAGTTTTCCATAATTATAGCAACCAATAAATTTCGAACAATATAGGTAATAATTAAATAGAAAGAACAGAAATAAATTATAGCACCAAAATAATTTCCACAATCAGTTTCCCAATAATTAGCACCGGGAAGCCAATAACAAAAAGGGGCACTTCTTGAAGTATCATGCATAATATCATTCCAATCTTCTCCAGTAACACTTCGAAATAATACAACAAGGGCTTCTGATCCAGAACGAAAATTTACATGTCTATAGTAATTTTGAGTGAAGAAATATAAAAGAATAATATCAACTTAGAGACAGCCTGTCCATATTTGACCATCCCAAAAAGAATAACACCCGTATAAGCATAAAAGAGGACAAGCAATACCATTGCCATAATGATAAAGAATGAACGAAACATTGACCTTTATATTAATTTTTAATTAATATTAAATAATTATTATTGTGGAAATTAAATTTTAAAGTAAATTTTTAATTAAAATAATTTAATTATTACATTACAACGGTCAACATTAACATCTTTAATGTGTTGTTTCTACCTAAAAATTAATTTTTAATTCACAAATGAATTTACATTTAAATAAAAATAAAAATACCAGCAATAGTAAAGAAACGTAAAATGACAACAATATATCCAAAAGTATAAGTAAAACGTTTTAGTCTACTTTCACCGCCTACAGCACTAGCTGGAAGTGCAACAAAGAAGTGAGTACTTATCCAAAATAAACCTTTAATTAAATTTAAATAATATTAAAAAAACTTTTATTTACCCATCCCTGTAATTAAAAGGTCAAGACGGTTACGTCGACTTTGCCAAAATCCTGTTACAGTGAAGGCAAACATTTTGAGTAAAACCTAAAGAAGGGCAAATTGAATCTCTAATCAAATAATTTACTTAACAGGGTCTGACCCAATGGAAATTTTTAGAATTTAATTTTGATCCCAATAAGGGCTGTGCATTCCCTAACTTTGCAAATAATTAATGACAAATGATATTAAAAATGTCTCTGAGTAGAGGCTCAAGTAATAAGAAACAGCTTGTTAAGTCATAGTAATAATTTAACAAATTATTTCCTATTTTATATTATCCAGATAAATTAATCCAATTAAGTAAACCTACCTCTACAGCAAAAAGTAAATTTAAAGCTGCCGATATCACAGTAACAATAAAAAGAACTTCATTCTTCATTTCTTCCTCTTCAACATTCCACGGGAAAATTAAAGTTGCAGAATTTAAAACAACCAAAGCAGCAAATAATTGGTTAAAAAATCTACTCATTGTTAATTCGTAAATACTTCGTCGAAATATTGCTGATTCTGAGGGTTTTGGGGGAATATGAAGAGGTTGGGCCATTTTTAAACGAGCTTTTAAATCATGCCATCGACGTTGGTCAACTGTAAGTAGAGCAGTTCCCTTTAATTATTTTTTTATTAAATTAATTAGTCTATCTATATTACTCGATTTTCAGTATAATTAGCAATTACAACCCCAACAAATAATGTAAGTCCAATCATACAACCAATAAATACATAAATGTGAATAAATACAACAGCCCACTATAATACAAATTATTTTAGAGATTAAAGGAAAAATAAAATTTACAGGTCCTTGACGTGCCCAAAGAATATCCCTAATAACATTCCATCCTTTGTATGAGAGTGTTTCGAATAAAGCTAACCTAAAAAAGGTATAAAAAATAATTTAATATTTTATTTTTTACATTGCAGCTCCAATATGATCAAAATTAAAATTTCGGGGATTCGTCCTAAAATTTAAAATAAAATATTTTCGTAAAATAAAATAACCAAACACGAGGTACCAACACTTTTGGATGCATTGTATCATTATTTTTCCCGTAAATTTCTAATCTTGTTACAAAAACTTTTTGCCAAAAAACACCATGGCATTCATTTCGATGTTTAATAGTTAAATCATTACATGCAGCTAATTTACCTCCAACAGTTTGGACACCAAAAGAAGCAAAAATAAACATTACAACAATCATTAAAATTGTTACAAGTAATATTTCCTTTTGAAAGTAATTTAGAAAAGTTTAATTAATATTAAATTATTTTAAATTCATTTGGGATAAAATTTAAAAATAAATGAAGATAATTTTCAGGTTGGAGGAATATATGAATATTTTCTAAAATAAGAGATGAAGACCATCTAGAATAATTAAGTATAAGTTGTCAGAAAAAATATTTGGACATAATTTGGAATAAATTGGAAAAAGAGGTAGAGGCTTTGGAAGAAAATTTGATTTAGGAATAAATAATTAAAATATCCTACTATAAATTAAAATTTATAAAATTACTTTAAATCCGCGAAATAATTCCAACACAACACGCCTAATATGCGGCACTAAAGTATAAATCCTTAAAGGACGCATTGCTCGACAAATCATTAAAAATTGCTCCAAAGAGTTAATCTCAACATGTTTTGGCATTAAAATTAAAAATGTTAAGCTCGTCTAAATAATTTTTAAAAAATAATTTATGGAAGAATTTAAATAACCAAATAAATAAAAACAGTCATTACACCCCCAAAATCATTAATTAAAGCATTTGGAGTAAAAAAGAGACCATCTGCAATCATTTTGGCAATTAATTCCAAAGTCATTGCCAAAACAAATAAATAATCAGGAATCTATAAAATAATAAATTCTTTCAAATTAAGTTAATTTCAATTATGCACCTGCAAATAAAAGTTAAACATAACTAAATTTTCGCCAGTAGTTGGCCAGGGATTTTCGAAAAGCATAGAACCACAGGAGATTCTAATAAATAATGAAAATAAAGATGTTGAGATTAATATTAAATATAATAAAACTACAATGTAATCAACACCATTGTCCAATCCAAATAAGGCATCAATCCCAACAATTCGCTAAATTGTTAAATAAGATTAATCTAAATTAACTATTAAAACTGTATTTGGTTATTCCTTTTAGTTCCACCACCAGCATTTGCTGTTCTAGAGCCACCATTCATTGTATCTCCTAAACCAATGGATCCATCACCTCCCCAACGGGCATGGACTATACGATGGCAATAACGTCTTAATTTTGAATCTCGGGCAATAATAAATAATGGGCGGTCAAAGTAAGGGTGATTTTCTCGCATTTCCTCTTCAATCCGATTACTGAAAATTAATGGGAATTTAAAGTATAATTTGTAATTATCTTCCTCAAAAGATCCTTTTTTAATTAATCTATTATCACTACTTTGAGGTAATTTTATTACCGAGTAATTTCTGCCATTTGTTGTTTATGTTGTAATGCACGTATATCAAATTGCCCTTGTTTTAGATCTCGTCGTGTTGAAGTTGTCATTGTTGTAGTTGCCGTTGCTGTCGCCCCAGAGAATGTGTTTGCTTGTTTTGTTTGTCCAACATGTTCTCGATTAATATCTCCATTCTCAGTCAGTATTTGTTCAAAAAAACTCATTGACTTTCCTCTCGCTTTTGTGCCAGAGGGGCCAAGTCCCATACCGCCCATTTGAGACTGTCCTTCCTTTGAAGCATCCCTACAAAGTTAATTTAAAAATATAACAACACTAAAATTTAATCACAATTGACTAAACAACATACTCTGTTTCTAACTTTATCTTTAATAATTTAATTTCTCCTAATTAATCACTTTATTTAAATATTTTTAAAGCTTACTTCACTAAATTTTTCAAAAGAGAGCGCATTGAGCAATGCCCTACATATCTCTTATAAAGACAACTGTCTTGAGGCTTTTTAGATGATGAACGGCTTTTAGCAGCAAATTTAGATAACATTCTTGTTTGTGCTTCTTCAAATATTAAAAAAACTTTTTTATTAAATTTAAAACAATTAAAAACTATTTTCTAAATGGGTAAGTAATTTTGCAGTTGAAATAGCAAGTTTTGATTGTTCGGCTTTTTCACTCCAAACAAACTTTAAACAAAAAAATTTTTTTCTTCAAAAAAATATTCAAAATACTTGATTAGTAAAAGAATCTCTAACTTTTGGAGTATTAAATTCATTGACTACTTTCTTTAAATGCACCATTTGTGGTCTTGTTGGGAATTTCTCAAATATTCTAAGACGCCAAGGAAGGGTTGTTTTAACTGCTGTCTAATATTTATTAAAATTAATTATTTTCCCATAAAATAATTATTATTTTTTACCGCTTCTTTAGCTTTTAATTGTTTAACTTTTTTTAATTCTTCATCCATTTCTAAATTGTCTAAAATAACAGCAACAAAGAGACTTAAAACAATTAATGTCACAAAAAGATGATAGGCAACAAAATAAATTGCCACAAAAGGCACCATTCTATCATCAATCATTCTTAAAACTTCAACCTTTTTATTAAAAAAATAATTTTTTTAAAAAATATTTTTTATCAAAAACCACAAATTCAGTCCATCCTTCTTGTGTTATAATTTGAAACATAGCCATAAATGCTTGGGGAAATGTTTGGAAATGTGTTAAATTTGGGACTGTACAAAATAATTGCAAAGAAACTGCTGACGCCCAAATAGCAAAAGTAAAAGTAAAAAGAACTAAACCCCCCAATTTTTTGCCTGGACTAAAAATCTTTAAAAAAATAAAATTGAAAAATAAAAATTATTTTTAGATTTCCAAACTTTATAAACAAAATCTTCAAGCATTGGAGAAGCTTTAATTAAACGAAGAAGACGGAAAACTTTAAATAATTCGGACATTTTATTTTAATTTTTTCCAAAAAAATTCTTTCCTTACCTTGAAAATAAGTAAAATAATTTTGATGATAAAAATATTTAAAAACATTTAAAGTCCCCCCAATAACTAATATTAATTCAAATTTATAAATATTTCTTTTAAAGAATTGTTTTCCATAACAAAGTAATTTAATAAAACATTCAATGTCAAATAATATCGTAAATGCTACCTTTTTTGTTAAATTATTTAAAAATATTATTTTAATTTTAATTTACTTAGGTTAAGACATAAATAATGAGCCCCCCTTGTGCTTAACGAATTAAATAATTATTAAATTTCAACTAAATGTTTCCAGACTTCAAATTATATTTTTCTATGATCCTAAGAGTGTTGCCTATTTTCTGGAAAAAAATCAAAATCCAAGTATTACGTTGTCAAGAGTTAGAGGTTTAAGGAGGGCTAATTATTTATGTCTAAAAATAAGTATGTATATTTACTTCAATCCAATAATAAATTTCTCTTCTTTTTGCATCACTTTCATCATGTTTATAAACAAAAGATGCATTAATTCCCGCATTTGCCAAAACTAAAGTTACAATAATACATTGAAAGGCTGTTGAACGAAGTATCTAATTATAATTTGATTAATTATCTATGTATATATTCTCTTACATTTTGAAATTTTTTAATTCTCGGACTCAATTTTTCTTCTTTATCTAAACGAATTAATTTCCACCCATCATCTGAACGTTCAATTTTCTTTTAAAAAAATTAAATTTATTTTCATATCATTAATTATAAACTTGTTTAAAATCATCTTCAATTTTTGTTCTTTCCTCTTTTTTCCAACTTTCACTAAATTGTACACGAATTTCAGCAAAAGTTTCAGTAATTACGGCAATAAAAACATTCTATTAAAAATTATTATTAATAATTTTTAGTTAATTATTTAATTACTTTAACTAGCCAAGCAAGAAAAAATATTAAAGTAACAAAATAAACAAAAGCAAAATGTGAAGGTAAAGAATCTAGACAATCATAAAGTACATATACCCAACCCTCTTCTGAGGCAGCTAAATAAACAGTAAACACAGAAGCACCTAAATGAGCAAATTTTCCTCGGAAAATAATTTAATTAATCAAACCAAAATGATCAAACATTCCATAAAATCCTTCACTTTTAGCACTCAAATCGAGTTTCTTATTAAATATTTATTAGGTATACTTATCGTTTAAAAAGAAAACTTACCATACATTCCATATTTTCTGGACATTCATATCCACCCCCACCATCCTTTGAGCACATCTTTATATTTAAACAAATTATAATTTTTTCTAAAAATTATTTAAAATATTCACAGTATCTGGAATAGCCAAATCATTTATTGTTACATTTTTTGGATCAGTTCCAGGCAAAACACAATGATAATCCATCCTTCCAAATAATTGTATACCCATAATTGCATATAAAGCCATAAAGAAAAGAAAGAAAACTGTCACATTTTGAACTTGAGTACTTGAACGCCTTTTAAAAAAAATAATATTTTTAAAAATAAATTTATTCAATACTTGAGAAGTTGCTGTATTCTTTGTCTTGGCACTTTTACTGTTATCATTAATCCTTTAAATTTTAAAATTATTAAATTAATATTTATACTTTACTTATTAATCGAAGAATTATCATAGGCCTAACACATCTTATTATCCCCAGCCAATCATAATAAACAAAACCAAATGAAGGAAAAATATGTTTAACACCAATTTGATATAAATGAAGAATCCAGGATGCCCAATGAAAAAGTAAAAGTAAAAAATCGAATTGACACCAACGATCACGTAAATACGAATCTGGACGCTAAAAATAATTTTTTAAATAAATTATTTTTAAAAAATTAATTACTTGAATTAATCCAAGAATTGCAGAACGTGTAAAGGCTTCTAATGTAAAAACCCCAACAACAAAAGCATCCCCAATAATTAATGCCAGATTTAAATTTGGAATTAATTGAATGGTTCGAGGTGTGTGAAAACAAACATTTATGAGGGAAATTAGGCAGGCTAATTTAAGGATTCTTTTGGCTGTTGGGTGCTCGAGAAGTGCTTAGAAATAATTAATGATATAATAAATGGCTTTAATTATTACATGATTGAGGCAATTTCCTTCCAGGACCAAGAGAAGTGGCAGCCAATAAATCGGCTATCTATTAAATAATTATTTGTTCGTATTTTCTTATAGTATATTCTAAGATTCTTATCCTTAAAGTTACTCCTCCACCGAGAAATTGAAACAATAATTACCCCAGGATATTTATTTTAGAGCATTTACTGTACCATAGCCATAGAATCCCGTTTGTTAGCCAAATTTGGTGTCATTAATTGTGTTTGTGTTAAACCAATTCCAATATTAGAACATTCTTTAATTGTACCCAGACCACTTCTACGTCTATCGTCTGGACGAACTTTCTGACCTTTAAATTTATATTTTTTTAATATTAAATTAAAGAGTAATTATTTAAATAAAATCTACCTGGTTTTAATTGTTGTTGATTAGTTTGTGGAGTACTTGTTGATGTCGGTTGTTGTTGTTGCAGCATTGTTGAAGAGAGAAACGCTGCCTTTGCAACTAGAAAATATTTAGATTTTAATTTTTAATGAAAATTTCATAAAAAAATTTAAAAATATATATTAAATAATAATCCACTATTAAAATAAAAAATATTTTCAGTCAAAATTTTTGCAAAAAATAATTAAAATTATTTTTGTTCAAAAGTAAATACACTCAAATTAAAATTAAAAATAATTTTAAAAATTTCGCCTGCATAAATATATCCAAAAAATATTTATATCTCACTAGTTGTAGAGTAATAATCACTAGAATCTCCCCAAGGCTTTGGAATGATACAAAGCGACTTTTTGCGTTGCTGTTGCATCACAATTAGACTCATCTTTCGAGGTGGCCCTCCAACGTTATTATTATTACTTCCAATAAAAGGAGGGCCGTAATTGGAAGAACCAGATTGGTAATAATCAAAACTTTTACGGGCCATTTTTATTAAAATATATAAAGAAATTAATAAAGATATAAACAAAAAATGAAAGAATTTTTGAATTAAATTTTAATTCAAAAATTATTTTTGAATATGTAAAAATAGCAATTAATTTAGTAATTTAAATGTTTTTACATTACTTTTGGAAATATATGTAAATACTAAAAATGAAAACATTTAGATATTATTTATGCAAATAATGAGGAGTTGCGATGAATAATAAAATGGATTAAATGTCACGTGGGAAGGTTTTATAAAATAAATATTACATATTGTGACTTGTAATTTAAAATAAATTAGAATAATTTTTTAGTTAATTTTATTTAAAAGGTTTCTTAGGAAAAGAGTGATTCTAATAAAGAAAGGTATAAAAATATTCGAGATTAAGTATTAAATATTTAATTAGTTAAAATAAAGATATTTTTCAGGCCTTGTTTGAATTAAATTAAAAATAACTAAATTGTTTTTTCAGAAAAAAGTCGTTCTCTAAAGAAAAATGGCGCTCTTGGGATTTTATTTGGAAAATAAAAAAAAGTTTAGTGTTTTTGTTACTGATTTGTATTACTTTTTTGGGTGATTAAAATATATAAAATCCCCTTTTCTAAAATCTGTAATTTATTTAGAGAAATTTTCTAACAAAATTTAATTTTAATTTCTATTTGATAAATAAATCAGTTTGATACATATATCAGCTGATATAATCAATGGATTTTTTGATGAATATTATTTTAATATTACATATAAAAATTATTAAAATTTTTAAACAAATTTTTATAACATAATTTTTTTTAATTTTTGAAGAATTAATTTAAAAAATCTTTCATCACTTTAAGTCAAACAAATAAAAAAATAAAGTTGGGAGAAAAAATAAGGGAAACGGTTTCGATTGTCGAGCGATTGGAGGAGTAAGTATATAGGGAATTGAAAGAAAAGAAAAGAAAAGAAATAAAAACGGAAGAAGAGTAAAAAAGGAAATAAATTCTCCCGGAACTAACTTAAAAACGGCCACAACTTGGACAAAAGCTGAATCTGGCAGAAATAAAAAAGGGGGAAAATAAATAAATACATACATATGTATATATTTAGTTTGGAGGGTAACCAGCTGGGAACAATTTTGGACCTTAAAAATAAAAGAGGAAACAACAAATTAGAGAATAAAAAGGAGAAAAAAATAAAGGAGGATTTGTTTAAATTAAGAGGACAGTTTAATAGAGAAGTTAATAAAAGTGCAATTTTATAAGAGAGAAATTAATTAGTAGTAAACTATAAATTTAACATAGAAATAAATTTATAAATTTTATTAATTTAAAAAATTAATAAAATTTTATACCTAATCCAAATATTTCAATTTTATTTTTTTAATTAATAAGTAAAAATCAGATATTTTTTAGAGAGAGAGTGAGGAGTTATGAAAATTACCATGGCCTGATAAAAGGAATAATCGGGGGAAAATTTTTTTATGAGTCTAATTATGATGCATTTGCGTCTAAAATATATTTATATTTTAAAAAATTACCTATAAGCTGTTTTTGTTTAAAATATAAATTGTTAATTAATTAAGTTTAAGAAAATAAACTATTATAAAAATTCTACAAGAAAAATGTGTGTAAATTCATATTAAAAAGTAAGTAAAAGCGCCAAATTTCGACCTTTCAATTTATGTATATTTAATAAATTTGGAAATGTTTTTTGAAATAAATTCTATTAAATATAAATTCTTTTCAAAATTCTCGCAAAATCATTTAAAAAGCTTTAAAAGAGTAGCGTTAAATAGAAAGCTAAACTAAAAATACAAATTTTTTGCTGAAGCGCGCAAAATTAGATTATTTGGCCAATGTGCCAGGAAATTAAAGGAAATATGTATATAAGAAGGAAAAAAGAAAGAAATATACAAACTTTTTAAACATTTTTTAAAAGATAAAATTATTTTAAAATAATTTTATTTTAATATTAAAACATAAAAATTAGATTTATTTCAAACAATAAAAATATTCTCCCAAAGCCAAGGATTAGTAAATAATTACAAAAATATATGGCTATGAAAACACAAATATTTAGTTAATTTTGATAATTATCATAGTATTTTCTACAGCTAAAGTAAATTTAAATTTAAAAATTCATTCCACATGTTTAAGGAAGCCCTCAAAAAATCCAACCTTCCCCTATTTAAATCTTAAATAAAAATAATCATAAAATCTATACAAACATATAACAATGCTTTATAGATTATGCCATTCTCTTTTGGCCTATTTAAAAATAAAAAATCGCTGGAATTTTATCTTCAAAGAATGAACCGCAAAATAAGTAAAAGGTGACAAAATCAGAAATAACAAACATCCCTGGGGAAGTAAAAAAATTTTTTTCTTTTCTAAATTTTTATATAATTTTTTGTCAAAAATGGATAGATGGCAATAATAGAATATGAAAAATGTCTTTTAAAAAACTTAAAATTGGCCAAAAAAATACCGGGAATAGTCTTATCGCTCCACAAATTTTCTCACTTTTTGATTCAGAACCTATAGAAATTGGTTTGTGATGATGCAATTGCTTATTGTTACCGCTTTGATCAGCTCCTTGATCAAACTAGAAGACAATTACCAATAAATTGATGTATGTATAGATTCGGACCACAAACGATTTTACACAATCCAAAGGAACGCCTAAACCCCAAGAATAAATGAAGCAAAGAAATGCGAGAAACAAAACTGGCGGCTAAATTTTTATTAAACCCTTTAGTAAAATAATTCTTAGTTTTGATTAAACAAGATTTAACATAATTCAAAAAAAATCTTTTTATTAAAAATATATTTTATTTTTCAATTATTATTTCAATACTAACCTCTTCATAATATTGCATTATTATTATATTTTTCTGAAGACAAAATCAATTTAATAACAATAAAAGGCTTTTTCTTGGCAATAAGTGGAAAAACTTTTATTTTTGAAGGAAAGGAATTTAAATAAAATGTTTAAATAAAAATTTTAGAAAAAAATAAATTTAAAAATTGTTGTGAGAGATTTGCATAATTTTTTTTAAATTAAATTATTAAAGTTGGTAGAAATAATTTAAATATTAAATTAAAGAAAATTATAAAACAAATGTATGCAGCATATCCAAATATGTAGATATTATAAATTAATATATATATAGGTAATTTATCAAAATTTTTGAACATTTTTACAGAAAATAAAAACAAAAAAAAGTTTATGTAAACGGAACTTCTCAATAAAAAATATATTTGTTTTGTCGTAAGTATTTTAATAAATTTTAAAAATTTAAGAATAACTAATCTTTTTAACCATTTATCATATTTAAAAGACTCTTTTCCAATATTAGCTTAACTTTTTTTTTAAATTTTACTGAAAGAAGTTAGGAAAAAGAAAAAATATATTTTTACAAAAGTAACAAAATATGTAGATATATTTTTATTTTTAATTAGGAGGAAGGGGGTAAATAAATAAATAAATAATTTTTATTAATTTTGAATGTGTACATATAATAAAAAATATTTAATTTAACTAAAATATATTTGAATATTACTCGAAAAATATTAAATAATTAATGCTTTAACATTGGGTGGCATTATGTCTTAATATAACTGCCAAAGGGCATTAAAAAGTAAAAAATCCAGCTGCCCTTAATATCTTTAATAATGCTTTAAAGCTAAAATTAAGCGCGCAAATTATTTTTGTAAAAAATAAAAGAATATTATTATTATTCTAAATGGATATATCCCTCCTTTCCCCAAAAACAAAAAAATATATAAAAATAATTTTAATTATTAATATATATTTTTTTTATTTTTGAATAGTGCAGTTTTTAATTAGTATTTTTAGATGCGCACATCAATAGAAAATGAAAATAAAATATTGGCAAAATTAAAAATAAAAGAAGACAGCGTTCAATAAAAAAAACTAAACCCGTCAAAAACACAAACAATAAATAAAAATTATTCTAAAACATACTTAACAATCTTGTAGATGTACTTCCTTCAGCATTACTACTTGCAGTCCATGTTGCCTTTTTAAAAATATTTTTATTTAAATTTATTTTTTTTAATTTTATTGACTGTATGTATAAATTTATTAATTTTTATTTATGTTACTTAACTAAATTTCGATCAAAATTTGTATAATATTTAAATATTAACTCTAGTCATTATCCGCTTTCTTCTTCTTCGCTGTGCTGCTGCAACAGAAAGACTTCCAGCACTTCGACGGCGTTCTTTTTTGTTTTGTTCTCTTCTAGCAGCACTTGCTCTAAATGGCACAAAGGGCAAAAACATTTTTTAAAAGTTTTTCTGAAATATAAAAAATGTGCTCTAATGCAAAAATCAAAGTAAATTTATTAAGAAAAAATAAAAGTAATTAATTTATTTAAATAATCTTTCACTAATTTTGTTTAGATAATCATGAAAATACACTTGTTTGTTAGATAAAAAATAATTTTTGTTCAGGTCCAAGTAATTCTGTAGTTCCCGAATGAAGAAGTGGAGTACTAAATCCAGTCCCAACCTACAACTATTTTCCCTTATGTCAAGAACTTTAATTAAAAAAATAAAAGAATGTTCAAATAATATGGATTAAATTAAAAAATATACCTAAATATTTCAAAAAAAATTCTAAAGTAATTTTCTGTCCTTAAAAAGGAAGAGGATGGCACTTAAAAATAGGTGACACGTAAGAGAGTGTTTATGGGAAAATATTTTAAATAAAAAGAAGCAATTTATACAAACAAAATAACTAAAAAACAAACAAAAAAAAGAAACAATTTTTAATATTTATTTTACTTTAAAAGTGTCATATTATAGGGTAAATTTAAGCAAGGTTAGATTTCTCTTTTGTTTCAATTTGTGGAAATTACCAAGCTTAAAGGAAGGTAAAAATTCTATATAAAAATTTGTAATTAGTACTTTATGTAGATTGGGGTTGTAAGGCATTTTGAAATTTTGAGCTTTGCTTGATTCGAAATTTTAAACAAACTGGATTCGATATACAAAATAAAAACCAAAAATTAGCCTTTAAAATCCTAATCATTTCAAACATAATTTTAAATAAAACAATTAATCTTAAAAAGGGTGAAAATGAAATGTTATATTTTTTATATTTTTATAAAAGTATATTTATATTTATTGGTACGTGGAGTAATGTCCTTTTTCTATCAAAATAAAGTAAAGAAAGAGGATTCTCTAAGGGAACCCCGAGGGAATGTTTAGACATTCAAAGAGATATATCTGAATTTAGATAAAATTGAGGTAGAAACAAAAAAAAGTTGGAAGAAAAATAGGAGAAAAAATAATGGAGAGTGAGGGGGGAATTTGTTTTTAGAAATTAAAATTAAATTTTTCTAAGGGAAATACTGAAATTAAATTATTTAGAGAAAATTATTTACTCACAAATGCTAATATTGTTACTATTTTAAAGGTTGTATTTTTCTTGATAAAATTTTATTTTTAAAATAAAATAAGGCACTCAAAGCTTTTATTTACCTATAAAATCGAAAAGTTATTTTAGAATTATTTTTTAAGAAAATAATTCTGTAAAATTAAAAATTTGCAATAACCCTAAAAACAAGCAAATAAACTTAAAAAAGAAGTGCTGTGATGCGTTAAAATTACTTTGAATAAGTCAGTTTATTTTTAAGTATTCTTAAACTTTTTTAGGTATAAAAGATATTTAAATGAAAAATAATAGAGAATAACTAAAAACAAAATTGAATTGTTTAAAAATATTTATATTCATAAATTTTTAAATTTGCAATAATATTTTTGTTAAAAGATCAGACTGAGACGGGGAGAGCTTTAACAAAATTCTTGAAGGTTGAGTAGCCATGAATTCTAACTGAATTTTTCAAACTGATTATTTATTACGAAAAATATTTTATTGATATTTTTTATTCTATATTTATGTTAAAAACTTAATAACTTAACTTTCATAAAAATAAATCCATTAACGAAAATTAGATCAGAAAATGGAATCCTTCTGAGTATCGTCGAGATTGATAATGAGATTCTTTGTACCGAGATCGAAATAATTAGAATAAAAACAAAAAAGGGCGAGAATCTTAATTTAAATTTAATTTTATTTGCCTAGAACAATTTTATTTTTTTGAACCAGGAAATCAAAAAAATTAATAAAATTTATTAACAAAATTTTCTTATTTATCCGTTATTATCGAGAATGTAGAAACATTTATTTATAAACAAAAATAAAGAAGGAGAGAAGCATATTTGAAAATAAAATATTTTGATATTATTTATATCATGGCATCTATATTTACATTCATATTTTCTAAACGCCAGACCGTTTGATAAGAAAATCATTTCCACCTAATGAATCCTGTTTAAATAAAATTAATTATTTAAATTAAAATAATTAAATAAAAAATATCCATCACTAAATATTTAAATATACCAAAATAATTCTTTCTCGTTTCCCAACTTCTGCCATTCTTTTATTCTGGTTGTGAGTCCTCCTTTGAGGAATAATAATTTCATCATTTGATAAAATTGAAATATCCGCTGGTACAGGTTTGAACACCCATTTCTTTAAATAAAAAAATGAAAAATAAAATTTGATGTTAATTTAAACATTAATTATTAATTATTTTGAAAATTTAAAATAATAAAAAAAGGCAGGTTATCCAATTCTCAAATCCTTGAATTAAATTATTTATTCTTTAAAATTACCAATTGTTTATCTGGAATTGTTAAAGAATCTACTTGATTATTTTGAATAATTATAGCCAAAATTAATAGTGAAAATGAGGCTAATATAATATTTTTAAACATTTTTGATTTATTACATTGAATTATTGATAAATACATTTTAAATAAATATTTTTTAATTAATATTTTCACTATTAGACCCTAAAAATTATATTTAAATATTTTGTTATATTTTGATTCTTATAGAGAACTATTTAGTATATAATTGGGATTGTTAGTTATTAGAAAATCTGCGATTATTCGAAAGACTCCGAAAAACTGAATCTTCGATTAAAATTTATAAAACAAACTTAAATTTTATAAATTTAATTTAAAAATGGTTTGTTTTATTATATAACTTTTAAGTCATTATCTGTCATCTCTGTGAGCAGCTTTATATATTTTAGAAACTCCCTCTGGGTCCAAAAACTCTAACTAGCAGTGTTAAATTAGAAACCTATTAAAAAATGACGAGGGATTGAAATTACCTCGAAGCTCTTGTTTATTAAAAAATACTCAAATATATTTTAATTTAATCGTCATTAGATTTTTATAGCTAATTAAATTGAATATTCATTTATTTTTTTGGATTTTGTACTGGAAAATTTTTAGGCTGACGACAAACTCTAAATAACACATTTGATAATAAAAATTTTAATTTAAATAAAGAAAAGTAAATACTAAATAAAAATAAAACGTGGAATTTTTTATAATAGGTTTAAAAAATGACAAACTAACTAAAGTTAACATTACTCTGAATGTTAATGTAACATAAAAATAAATTATTTAATGAGAGGATTTTTTAAGAGAACTGGTCATTATTTTAAAGTAAATAAGATATCTTTAATTTATCAGGAATATATTCTAAACAATTTTATAAGCTAAACATTCAGCGAAATTATTTAAATAATACTAAATTTTATTTGACATGTTTATTTAAGTAAAAGTGTGGGAGGCATTTAGTATATAAAATTATTTCATGATTCTTTGATAAACTATTTTTACTCAAAATTGAGCAAATGATAGATGAATGAGATAAAAACAATAATTTATTAATATTAAATAGATCCTTTTATTTTGGTTTAAATAAAATAAATTTTACTCTTAACAATGTGAATCAAAATTTGTCATTAATTTTTAATTTAAATATTATTTAAAATTTTTTATATTCTGAGAAATTTTAAGACAAAAATGTTTAAAAAATAATAAAATAGTTGAAGGATTAATTTAATAATATTTTTATTCAATATTTAAATGTGATGGATGAATGATGAAATTATACATACATATATGTATCTCCAAGTCTGAAAGAAAATGTTAAAAAATTGTGTCGATGCTGGAGTGTAACTTGCAATAAATACATCATTTTTTGACAATATATTAGAAATTAATAAATTAATTTTTATTTTTTAACTAATATTATTATAAAAAAATTTGTCAGAACCCAAAAATAATAATTAGCTTACGGATAAAATTTTTTAACTAAGAGAAAATTACATGAAGGAAACTAAACTATTCTTTATAATTTTTCGAAGATAAAAATTAATAAAAAAATAAGTATATAAATTCTTTTCATTTAATATTTATAAACACTAAAAATATTACAAATAATAAATTTTGTTTATAAAACATTTAGGTGTAAAATTTGGATCTTAAAATAACAGGATAAAATATTTTAGTTGGAATTAAAATTTTATTTCTAGGTTCGTAAATAGGTATTCTTTTTTTTTCTTTTTTAAAATTCCAGAAAAAATTATTTTTAAGTAATAATTTTATAATTATTTTGAAGTAATTCTCAATTTAATATATTTGTAATGCCTCCAACAGTTGAAACTCTAGTTTGAAGTTTTTTTGTATAAAACTTTTTGATAATTGATAAAGTATCTGTTCGAACAGTTTTATTTAATGTTAAATAAATAATTGGAGGAAAACCTTTAAAATAATTATTTTATTAATACATTAATTTTTAAATATTTTCAAGTATTATCCGTCCACACAAATAGAGATGATGAGGCCATTATCTCCCAGTTCTAACAGAATTACACCTCCCACCCCCTATGTAAAATTACACATTTTCCTTTATTCATTTAAAGAATATTTATTTAAACAGAAATAATCTTCTTAGTATTCAAAAATAAAAGTAATTGAGCTGATAAAAAGTGAATAAGCTGTCCTTTAACCAAAAAATTTTTTCTGCAGTACAGAAAATGAGTTTAACTAAGTTGCTAAAGATGTTAAATCCCTTGTATTTTACTGTTTATATAATTGCCGTTATTACTCGCTTTCCCCGAAATTAACTCTCTTTTTACGATTCGCTTTCACGGTATGCCTCCCCGTCGCGGCGGGTAACAACCCTAACACTAGTTTAACATATAAGTAATCATTGATATCTGTATTTTTAAAACAAAACATGTAACTTACCATGGATATGCAACCTGAAAAATAAAAAAGTTGACCCTGGTTATAGTGACAATTGGTTACGTGTTCAAACAAAATGGTAATCAAAAAAGGCAAAAGGTTAACAAAGTTATTATACACACCTCCCTAAGCCATTTTGTTGAGTACCATTTTGTAAAGGCGTCTTCGGTTATAAATCCACCTCAGATATAATGCCATAATTGGTCAATATTTATGGCAAAAGTCGATCATTGACTATTCCCCCCTCAATTCTCAAAAATCCAAAATATCTCTTAGTATTTAGCTAACCAGAGTCAATAAAATAAAATAATTACCACGAAAAATGTGCCAACATTTGAAGAAAATATCCACTATCTGGATTTTTTAAATTATAGGAATAAACAATTCCTGTACTTGTATTAAACATTGAAATGATAAATACTTGAAGAAAAACCTTATAAATAAATTAAACAAGTTGTTTTAAGATGAATCCTATTAAGTATTTAATAATTTAATGACCCGATTTAGTAACTGAATAGTTACGGACATACCGAACATTTTCAAGACTGATCTAATAGATGTTTACACTAAGAAACTTGTGGCCTTTCGATAAAGGCTTCACTCAAGAATACTAACCATTTTCTCCTCTTTTGTAACACGATTAGAAAGTTCCCTGGCTTTGAAGAAAAAGCAAATTATAAAAACTGCATAAATTATTGGTGAACTTATAGCTAATATAATATTGTGTAAAGTTATGTCGAATAAATTTTGTTGAAACTAAATTGATAATTTTATATTAAAAAATAATTATTTTTGCAAACAATCTCCATTCTAAAAGGTACATATCCAGTTAATGGATCTAATAAAACTTCGAATGTTATTCCATTAAAAATATATGCATGTCGAAATAAAAGCCAATAAAGTCCATATAAATTACAAATAACTATCCAAATATAAACACGATTATTATGGAAAAGTTTATCAGCAATATTTGGAAATGCCATTTCAATACAACGATTTATTCCCAAAATCTAGAAAACTACGAATTAAAATATTTTATTTTTATGAGACCAAATCAGCAATACATTCAGCAGCCCAAAAAACTAAAAAATAATTTTATTGTTAATTGTAACTTTTTGAGCATTCCAATTGGGTTCGGGTCTAGCTGACAGCCGGACATATTTTTCTAAATCAAATCTTATCGTGCCAGGTTCTAGAGCTCAAAATGTTAGACCAAGTTGGCAACCCTGATTTCAGATAACTTACATAAAATAAGACAGCCAACAAAATATGTAGATATTGGTGAGGAGCAGTAAACAACTCCATACAAACTAAAAACACCGAATGCAAATGTTGGTACCCAAAGAATTCCGATATCCAATATAGAGAGATAAATTAAAAATATATAACAAGGATTTTTGGCTCTATTTTTCCAAAAAGAGTAAAGACAAGGAAAATATAAAGGCTTAAATTCAAAAAAATTAATTTAAAAAATAAAAATAGTACATAATATATGCAGCCTAATATTATACAAATAATTGCAGCCAACGGATATCTTCTTTGCTCAATTGGAACATCATCAACATTAATTCCTGTACAATTATAAACTCTGTCAAATTCATCTCGATTCCACAAAATATATTCCATTTTATTTATTAGAATAATTCTTCTGAGTCGTCAACTTAAAAAGTATCGTATTTTCTAAAATAAAGCCCCATGGGGCTCTATTTTTCAACTATACACCAAAGTAGGGCTCTATTTAATAGCGGGCTTAAGGATTTTATTTAGTAAATACGGTATTTACAACCACTCTAAACATTAATTTAACTCTATGTCAGCCCTATTATTTTACTTATAAAATAATTTTTTTCATTTAATAATAAGTATGTACTTATTTCTAAAAAAATTCTGTTAATAATAATAATGTTTTTAAAAACATAATAAAAATTTTAATATTTAATAAAGCCATTATTTCCTTTTAATTAATAGTTTGGGGAAAACTAGGGAAAAAATACCATATTTATTCCCTTTAACAAACAAAAAATTTTTATTTGTGCTAATTAAAAATATAATTAAAAAAACTTTAATAAAAAATAAAAGGGTAAAGGAATCATGACTTAAAAAATTAATTTGAAATAAAAAAAATAGGTAAATAATTCAAGATATGTGGTAATGGAGAATATTATACCTATTTAAATGCATTAAAAAAGAAAATTCTACTTAAATTTTCTATGACCAAAACAAAGGGGGCGGGAAATTTGCCGCACCCTGTATATGTAAAATTAAATTAAAAATATTTTAAGTTAAGTCTAAAGCTAAATAGGTGTAAAATAGGGTTTCAACGGAACCGAAATTTTGACCGGAACCGGAACTTCCGGTGAAACACTAGTGTAAAATAGATAGTTTTCAGGTACTATACTGCATTCCTAATTTTCTCAATATTTCATTTCCCTTCCATTTTTAACTGGGATCTGATTGTTTAAATCGAGTTTCTTATTTACAGCCGGTAATTTATGTAACTTTCTTTAAAATATTTTTTAAATGATTTATATTGAAAATATAATAATTTAGCTTATCTCATACCCTAGGTGGAAAAAATATTTTTCAAAATTTTATACATCAAAAACTAACGTGGAAATAAAAACAAAAGACAATTGTTTAATTATTCTACAGTTCCTTTTAAGCGATAAAGTAGTCGGCGACAGCGTGTCCTTGACCCCATAATCTCCAACTTTGAAAAATTCTTTTTTCGGTTGTCAATTTAATTTTTTATTTTTTAATTAAAAAATTCTATTTATTATTTTCAATTAGGTATTTTTAAAAGCGTTATAATATTTCCAAGCTAATGAGCAATCAAGTGCAGCAAAATCGTTTCGCCGAGCCAAAATTTTTGCAAAGTCAACCACCCGAAAATAAGTAATCAATTATTTATTTTCCTTTAAAAATTTTAAATATTTTTTCAGAATTCCAATTGAAGGACGTCGAAATGTTTTAGTTTGTGCTGCTCTTCCTTATGTTAACAATGTCCCTCATTTGGGAAATATTATTGGGGCTGTGTTGAGTGCTGATGTTTTTGTAAGATATTGTAATATGAGAGAGTATCAATGTCTTTATATTTGTGGAACGGATGAATATGGCACGGCGACGGAAATTCGAGCTTTGACAGGTTTTTTGAAAAATTTTAAAATTAATTTTTTATTTAACCATTTTGAATTATTTTTAATTTTATTATTTTAATTCCCCGGTTAATTTGAAATTGGAGATCGGGTAATCTTCTGCTTCATTGGTCCCTAGAAAAAAATGAGGAAAAAGTGCTAGTTCGACATTTTTGAGGCATGCCAGTAGGTAATCGAGCTTGATGAGTCCGAATCTGAGCTTAAATTTTTTTATTTCGAACCCCGGACCCGAATTCGACCATGTCGAATATGAGGTAAAAATTCGAAATTTCAAATTTTATGTCTAATCGGACTCGTCCCTTCGAGCTGAGTCGATTGGTATCAAAATTATCGCGTTTCGACATCTTTAGACTAAGTTATGGTGTCTGATTTATATACTGAAGTCCAACCAAACGTGCATTTAGTTGATCATAACTCAGTCTAAAGGTGTCGAAACACAATAATTTTGATATCATTCGACTCAGCTTGAAGAGACGCGTCAGAATAGCATAGCATAATAGTTTCGAATTCTTACCCTGAATTCGACTTGGTCGAATTCAGGTCCGGGGTTCGAAATAAACAAATTCTAAGCTCAGATTCGGACTTAGCACACTCAATTACCTACCAGCAGACCTCAAAAATATCGAAAAAGTACTTTAACCACATTTTTTTCTAGGGACCAATGAAGCAGAAGATTACCGGAGATCGGTATTTTCAAAAATCCTGGATATGGATTTATTGTTAGGTTAGTAACCTGGACAGGATTCTTGATCTGGATCCCTCCTTGATTTTTGAATTATTTTTTAAAAATATATAAGGATGATAAATGCATATCTTTAAAATTATTTTCATCAATTCTGACATAATCAGTTCATAATGAGATTCGGTTTTTACTTGTTCATGAAACAATTTAGCTGCGAAATACATCTATGTCACTTTCTGGTCAAATTTAATCCAGGGAATCAAGTATAAAAATCGTTTTGATTTGGACTCTGGATTTGGGTTATTGACCTGGACTGGATCCAGGGAAAATTCAGGACGATCAAAAAATGTCTGAATCTTGACTCTGGATCCAGGAAAAATCAAAACTGGATCAATATCCAGACCGATCTCTATTAAAAATAACATACCAAAAAATTATCAATTTTTATTATTGTAATTACAAATAATTTAAGAGGGTGTATCTCCAAAAGAAATTTGTGATAAATTCCATAAACTCCATAAAGAAGCTTATGACTGGTTTGGGATTGATTTTGACTGTTTTGGCCGAACATCTTCAGAACACCAGACAGAGTTTGATTTTTTCTTGATTTTTTTAAAACTTTTTTTTAGAATTGTTCAAGATATATTTCTTAAAATTCATAATAATTCTTTTACTTCTGTTGGTATTCAAAAACAGCTTCGGTGTTCTAATTGTCAAAAGTTTGCAAGTTTTTTTATTTTGTTTAGTAAAATTAATTATTTTATTTTTGTTAAAAATCTATCGAGAATTTTACATCTGGTTTTATCTAAATTTTTTGGTAATGGGTTGGAATTCGCCCCTGTCTTTTTTTTCTTTCTATTTTTCCTTATTTCTCATTTTATGCCAAATAATATAAAGTCCGCTTCGAGCTGATTGTGATTCGAATGACATTAAAATCAACGAAATATCAAACAAAAAAGCTCAAAATGGTAAGGGAAATGGGAAAAAGGGGCGACTTCCTAAGTATTAACATTTTATTATTTCTGGTTATGAGTTTTTTTTTAATTTTTTGTTTATTTTTGAGTCATTTTATTTTCTTTTGGAAATCCCTTCTAAAATCTAAATAAATTTATTAAATTTTTAATTTGAGCTTATCTCTGCTTTTAGATTTCTTGCTGATCGATTTGTTCGTGGAAGTTGTCCTCATTGTAAGTTCCTCGACGCTCGTGGGGATCAATGTGATAAATGTGGCCATCTTTTGGATGGCGTTGAACTTGTTGAACCAAGATGTCTTATTTGCGGAAGTGAGCCGCGCATAGAGGAATCTGAGCACATTTTTTTGAATTTGGATCAGCTTTCGGTTTTGTACATTTTATTTAAAAATCAAAATTATTTGAGATATTTGCTTATTAATAATATTTTTAACTAAAATACAAACAAGGGAACCTTTTGAACTGTCAGCCCCAGATCTTTTTAGTTTTATATTTTTAATCAAAATAGCCGAAAGTTTTCTAGAGTAAATCGATAGTGCTCTTTCGATTGGTACAAAAAAGTACAAAGTTTTAACAGGCAGTTTGAGAGGTTCTCTTTAAGTTAGGACTTTCTAGGAATTTAATCAACGCATACATAATCTTTTAGGTTGAAAAAATACTAAAATTTGACATGTTTGTCATTTATCTTTTTTCAGCCAAAAGTCCAAACCTATTTGGATACCGTTATCGACTCTCCCAACTCACATTGGTCAACTAATGCAATTTCTATCACCCGTTCTTGGATGAAGACTGGCCTTGAACGTCGTTGTATAACTCGTGACTTGAAATGGGGTATTCCTGTTCCTCTCCCTCAGTTTTCTTCAAAAGTTTTCTATGTTTGGTTTGATGCTACAATTGGTTATTTATCCATAACAAAATCCTTACTTGGCTCTAAATGGATTAATTGGTGGAAAAATCCAGAGCAAGTTGAACTTTACAATTTTCTTGGAAAAGATAATGTCTCCTTTCACACAATTATTTTTCCTGCTTCTCTTTTGGCAACTGGAGAAAAATATACTCATCCAAGGCAATTTTATTTTCTTATTAATTTTTATAAAATTTTAATTTAAAGGCATATGTGTGCAACAGAATATTTAAATTATGAGGACCAAAAATTTAGTAAATCTAGAGGTGTTGGCGTCTTTGGTGACACTGTTTCTCAAATTGGAATTCCAGCAGATGTTTTACGTTTTTATTTAATTTACATGCGACCAGAAGGGCAGGATACATCTTTTTGTTGGGAGGATTTGGTTTTAAAGGTTCTCCTTTTTTCAACCCTATTTAACTAACTTTTATTTTTATCATTGATTACAGTCAATTAATTTCTTTTAGGTCAACTCCGAATTATTAGCCAACCTGGGCAATTTTGTCCATCGTGCACTTAGTTTCCTATCTTCTTTTTTCTCTGGAATACAACCCAACATTGAACTAACCTCAGTCGAAGATGAGCTTTTTACTTTGATTGATCAGGATTTAAAAGAATTTGTTTCTGCAATGGAAGATGTTCGTATGCGTGATGCTCTCCATCAAATTTTATCAGTATCTAGGAGAGGAAACCAATATATGCAAGTTGGACAGCCTTGGTTGTTAGTCAAAAGCGATAAAAAGGAGGATAAGTAATTGGAATTTTAATATTTTTTATTAAAATTGTCATTATATTTTTGAATACTTATTTTTAAAAATTGTCTCTTATAAGGAAAAATATAATGAATTTATATTTTTAGACAACGTGCACAAACAATAATTGGTGTCTCTGCAAATTTGTCACTTTTTCTTTCAATAATGCTTCAACCATTTATGCCAAAAACAAGTGCCAGCATTCGTGAACAATGCAATATTCCTTTACCAATGGTTTTACCTGAGCATTTTACTTTGCTTCTCAAAACAGGACATCAACATAACAAAGTATTTAATTTTTTATATTTTAAACCTCCATCAGATTTTCTAATCACCTGACATGAGACAAAAATTAAGTCGAGAATTTACGTTTCTATTAAAATTCATTTGCACCTTTTTGTGATTACAATTATTGATCTCTTTTTCCTCTCATTTAAGACCCAATGTTTTTTGCTTCTCTCTACTCTTTTTTTTGACTATATTTGTGCACACTTTTTCCACTAATATTTAACAAACTGACTGGTTATTTTGGGTTTAATTACTGATTAAATTAAAATAAGCACTTTTTCTCTATCTTTTTTAGTAATTACTAGATTTTTTACAATTTTATACAAAATACCCTTTAAATTTTTAATTTTATTTCTTTTATTTTAGCCTTCACCTTTATTTGCAAAAATCGAACCAAATAAAGTTGGAGAGTGGAAAGCACTGTTTGGCGGTGATCAAAATTCTACAGCTGTCAACGGAACTCTCAACAATACTAAGACATCACCAAAAAAGACTAAACAACAAAATCAACAGAAAAAATGTATTAAAAATTGTTTTATTTTAAATTTAAAAAATAAATATTCTTTATTTAATTATTTTATTCAAAAATGGTTGAAAAACGTCGTTAACTTTTATTTATTTTAATCTTTTTTGGGGGATTAATCAATTTAATTTTAAATATTATTACAAAAATGTTTCACCGCTACTTTAATTACTCTTCTCGTAAAATATTTTCAAAAACTGTCAATGGAATTTTATTTGACTGTAAACGTTTAAATAATTTTTGAATAATTTTTTTAAATTTAATTTAAATAAATTTTTTTAGCAAAAATGTCCTCATCAGATGCTGTTGACTTGTCTTCTATTGACATTAATAAATTATATAATGAGGTTTTGGCAAAATTTCAAAAAGCAAGTTAGTTAAAATTTTATTTAATTTTTGTTAATTATTTTTATTTTAGAGGAAATTTTTGTGGCAAAGGAGATGACTCGATTAGATGCTGAGAACAAAGCTTTACGTGAACAAATTGAAGAATTTAAAATTAAGCTGGGATATGTTGGACCTTTGTTTTCGCCTCCAAAAAGTTTTTGAGATTTTAAATTAAATATTTTTAAATTTGTTTTTAGCTAGTGCACCAATTAAAGTTATACCTAAAGATGACTCAAAATCTGATGTTTTAAAACAACCTAGTCAGATAACGACATTGACTGTTGATAATGTAGAGATTAATGTTCAGAAACCAAAACAAGCGAAAAAGTCCGAAAATAAAAAAGCTGCGGTTTCAAACGTTGATACTGGTGGAGGAGGCGAGATTGATGTTGGTCGATTAGATCTTCGAGTCGGCAGAATTCTAAAAGCAACGAAACATCCAGATGCCGATGCTCTTTATGTGGAGGAAATTGACCTTGGTGAAGAAAAGCCGAGAACGGTTGTTTCTGGTCTTGTTCGTTTTGTACCTTTGGAAGAGGTTTGATTGAATTTTTATTGGGATTTTTAAGTTTGACTTTTCAGATGCAAAATCGATTGGTTGTTTGTCTGTGTAATTTAAAGCCAGCAAAGATGCGCGGTGTTGAATCTCAGGCAATGGTTATGTGTGCATCTACACCAGAAAAAGTTGAAATTTTGGAGATTGACTCAAGTTGTGAGCCAGGAGATGTTGTTATGTGTGAACCTTTTGCTCATCGTCCTGATTTGCCTTTTATGAATCCGAAGAAGAAAATATGGGAAGGAGTGGCGCCGGTGGGTTATTGAAAATATAGCATTAAATATACACTCGAATCTCTACTATATTTTGTGGGCCAAAGTAATAAGTAGAGAGGTTATCAACGGGTTATTCCTCGGAACCAAGGGTGTAGCCAGGGAGTCGATCTCAAGTTCTTTGCTCAGAGTCCTCCTCAAATTTTTTCCTTTTCCTCATTTCGGGGGTGGAGGCTTTAGTACCAGAAGCCCTCTGACTACGTCCTTGCTCGGAACCACACGTCTTTATGAGAGGCCGAAAGAAATTAAGTATATTTCTTACAATTTCCTTTTAACGCCAAGTGCGAATTAATTTTGCCTTACTCGTACCAAGCGCTATCGAGATCCAACTGTATTAATTTATTAAGGATTTATCCGTCTCTGAGAATGGTGAATGTGTTTATAAAGGACATCAATTACGTGTGTTTCGAAATGGTTCATCACTCAAAGCAAGGACATTGTCTAATGTTCCAGTTAAATGATATTATTTAATTTCTCCATTAAGGATCACTTTTGTCTTGCAATCTTTTATACTCAAAAGCTGTTTTCTCCTATTTTTAAGAATATTATACTGAAAATTTTTCTAAAATCCTAGACATTCAGAAAAATTGAAAAGTAAGCTGATAGCTTCGATATTATCTGTTTATCTTTCCAAATGTTTAATTCTCTCTGACTTCTCTCAAGATTTTGACAAGGTTGCCATAGTGCTAGTGAATTTTTACAAATTTCAGAATTAAGGCAAAAAAATTTTTAACGACATTGTCAAAACAATTGTGATGTGGCTTTGACCATTTTTAATTTGTGGGGGAAAGGAAAATGTGGTGAGATAATCAGCTAATCTGTAAGCTATTGTTTTTTATTGACAGGATCATAGAAAATTTTATCTTGATTTAAGTATTTGTTTTTGTTCTTTTGTTTGACTGTTAAATTGTTGTTTTAAATAAAATGTAAAATACTGCTAATTTTAGGTTTATTTTTATGCTTGTTTCTTCAAAATATTTTGTTGAAAGTTTTTTACCCTTCAGCTAGTATACTTTGCACATTTACTCTAAAAAATTCTTTTTCTTCTTTTTGAGAGTAAACACTGCAGTCATTCCTTTACGTTCTATAGTGAATGTGAGAGTGCTTTAACTCTCTCATGCTAATGGTGGGTGACACGCCAGCCAGCACTACCTTCATCTCACTATTCCCAACCATGTACCTCTTACATTACATTTTTATATTGATTTTGGTGTTTTTACACTCGTTATTTCATTTTATATATTACTCAACATTACATTATAGACAATTTGTTAATTTTCTCTTAAATTCTTTATTGTTTTTATTCTAAAGTAGGGAAAATAAAGGTGAACAATGGAATTTCTAAAGCATGAAATAGGTGAATTCACTCCAGATGCAAAAACAGAATCAAGTATTCGACGTTCAGCAGAACTTTATATAACTACAAATCCAGTATTCAAAGCAGAGCGTGAGGATATCACACGACAACGACTAGTGTTTGCCGCAATTGTAGGTGATCACTACGATGTCCTTTTCAATGGAACGAGTAATGAACGTGGTCCTTTGTGGGAAGAGATTCGCTTATTTATGATTGAGAATGGTGCAGCAACATTAGTTGATAAAGATTGGAAATATACGGGCAGTTGTTATTGGCAGAATATTCGAAAGGTGAATTTTGAAATTTTAACTTAAGTTTAAAAATAAAACCAACGCGAATTATTTTAGGAATCAATTCGACGCATGGCAAAAATGAAATTAGGTACGGTAAAACAGGCAAGACCTGGACAACTTGAATTGGATCGCCTTGTCAGCACTATTATCGAAAAGCGTGGGCCGGGCTCGGTATGTTTCAATACATTGCTTCATTTCCTCTCGTAAAAAATCAAATTTTTCTTTAGCTTGAAACAGTTATAAATCATTACGGTCTTGCTTATATTGAACGTGAATCTGGAAGTGGAAACAAAGTTGTTGATAGAGAAATTGATGATATGCCTCCAGAAAAGCCTTCAACTTCATTAGTTATTTCAAATCACCCCGTCAGGCACTTAAAACAACTTAGAAATTCAGCTAGTCCAGGTGTACAAAAAAAATAAATTTTAAATTCAAATTAATTTTTAAAGACGTTTTTGAAGAACATAATAACCAAAGATTTGTTAATAGTCAACAACCGTTAGATCAAGTTATGAAAAATACTTCAATGAAAAGTTCTGTTCAAAATAATCAACAACAACGTCAGACATCGTCACCATCTACTTCACATATCGCTCAACCAGTAAAGGTGATGAATGGATTTTTACTAATTGAATATATAAACAAAATTAGTTAATTATCTATATAAAGTAGACAATATAAATACCTATATAAAATATAGAAACCGTTAAAAGTAGGGTTGGGGGCCCGATCCGGCCTGGTCTGAATGATCGAGTCGGGCATTAAATTTTGGCCCGAAAACGACTCGGCCAGGCTGGCCCGAAAAAATGACTCGAACGTCGGCCCGGCTCGAAAACTCCAACACTAATTAAAAGGCAATACTCAAAATCATTTTATATGTACTATTATATTACATATGTATTGCCTACAAATTACTATAACATATTTCTCTATTAATATGTATGTAAAATTATGTAGATAATATTAAAAAATTAACAAAAAAAAATTTTAATTCCTTTAAAGCTAATACAAAATTCTTCAATTTCCATCGATTTATCAACCAATGAGAATCAACTTTCAAGTTCATCACCATTTAATTCACAACAATTAGGAATTTCTGTCACAAAAACACATTCACAATTAATTGCTGGTGGACATTCAGAAATGGCTTTGGAATTTGAAACACAGCTTAAACAATTAATTAATGGATATAAAGCTTGGATGTTTGATCAGTTATTTCAACAACAACAGGGAGAAACTGAAGATGAATCTTTAATTGGATATCAACAAAAACAAAATCAAACAGGAAATGGAGGAAGTGCAAATGATGTTAAAAGGCCAAGATTGTGATATTAATAGATTTTTGTTTATAAATTATATTTTAGCTTGATTATATATATAAATTTCTTGTGTTATTAGTGGGGTTGGGATTTTTGGTCAAATGCCTGTTTTTTCTAGATAGGCCTGACGCTTGAACGTCCAAATCAGGTGTTATTTTGATGAGATATGCTTTTAAATCTCCTTAAAAATTTTACCAAACTTTTTTGGAAACAAAATAATTACTATAATTTTGTTTATTCGTAATTGTGATAGTCAATTTAAATTGAATAAAGTTAAGTCAGAAAATAAAATCTCCGGTCATTTCTTGTCACCCTTTACACTCTGTTACTAAGTGATCTCCAAACTGCAGATGATCCCAAACCAAACTAATATTGCGACCGGTCGTTTATTTTTCAACCTTCCTCTAGGGGGTCGGTTTATTAGAAGAGGTCGGTCTAATAGAGGGAGTCGCTCTATTAGAAGAAATACGGTATATTGTTTTAGAGTATCAGTGTAATCTAGCAGGAATGTCACAATTTATTTCGACCCAAACCCCGACCCAACTTTTTTCAACCAGTTACATCCTTCATATTTAGTCTCAATCTTCATTTATCCAAGCATACTATTCATGTTGCCAACAGGTGAAATTTTTTGACGAATATTTTTAAATAAAATTTTTGTATCGTTTCTAATTGTTTTGTTTAGTGTTAAATAAACAATTGGTGGGAAGCCTTTAAAATTTTAGGTGTTTTTTGTTTATGCTTTGTTATAATTTAAATGTCTAAAATTACCGTGAACGTGAAGCCTTAAAAATATAAAAATTAATTTTTAAATGAGAATTTAATAAATTACCAAGAAAAATGTGCCAACATTTGAAGAAAATATCCACTATCTGGATTTTTTAAATTATAGGAATAAACAATTCCTGTACTTGTATTAAACATTGAAATGATAAATACTTGAATAAAAACCTTAAAGAATAATAAATAAATTATCACGTAGGTGTTGAAAATTCATAAAAAATTTTAATTAAATTATTTTGATCAGTCTTAGGACAGGGACTGGGTTTCTGGATTTTTCTAAAAATATTAACATACAAATAACTACCAACCATTATTTCTTCTTTTGTAATTTTATCAGATAGTGCTCGAAATTTAAAAATTAAGCAAATTGCAAATAAAGTATAAATTATTGGTGATCCTGCAGCCAATATAGTATTGTGTATTGTTAATTCTATTAAATCTTCTTTGAACTATAAATATTTAAATTTATATAAATTACAATTAAATAATTAATACAAATTCCATTCTAAAAGGTATATATCCAGTTAAAGGGTCATATAAATCTCCAAATTCCAATCCGTTAAAGATATAAGGATGTCGAAATAAAAGCCAATAAAGTCCATATAAATTACAAAAAGTTATCCAAATATAAACACGATTGTTGTGAAAAAGTTTTTTTGCAATTTTTGGAAATGCCATTTCTAGACAACGATTTATTCCCAAAATCTGGAAAAATACATAAAAAACTGGTCCTAAATTATTTTAATTTTAATCGGTAAAAAGAAGATGAAATTAAACTAGAGGGCAAATATCCTTTGTCTGTCTACCGAAATCACTATTAATATAAAAAAATCATAATTAAAAAACCAAATCTCCACTACATTCAGCAGCCCAAAAAACTGAAATATAAAATTATTAGAGCTGGCAAATTTATATTTTCAAAAGAACTTTTCAATCTTTTAATAACTCTGTTACAATATTTCATTAATATTTTTAAAACTAACATAAAAGATCACAGCCAGCAAAATAGGTCAAAAAAGGTAAAGAGCAATAGACAACACCATTTAAACTGAAAATTCCTAAAGCAAATGTTGGTACCCAAAGAGTTCCGATATCCAATATGGAGAGATAAATCAAAAGTATATAACAAGGATTTTTGGCTCTATTCTTCCAAAAAGAGTAAAGACAAGGAAAATATAAAGGCTTGAATTTTAAAATATTAAAAATAAAAAAATAAAATAGTACATAATATATGCAGCCTAATATTATACAAATAATTGCTGTTATTGGATATCTTCTTTGCTCAATTGGAACATCATCAACATTAATTCCAGTACAATTATAAATTTTGTTAAATTCATCTCGATTCCACAATATATATTCCATTTTATTTATTACTGAATTTAAAAATCGTTGGCACTTTCCGTTACACACTTAAAAAATGGTTAAAAACAGTCATGAATATGGACATTATATGTCATTCAAAAGAGCATGTCGTGTCAGGATTCTGGTCGAAAGAGGTAAATTAATGTTTGGCCTTAATTTTTTAAATTTCTTGCCAAATGAGATTTGGAAAATTATAATGTAAATTAGAAGGCAGAAATTTTTCTAAACAATATTTATTGACAAAAAATAATTATATAGAATTCTATTTTATATAGGATATCAGATATCTTCTTTGCTCAAATGGAATATTCTATAGCCGTAGGTGAAAATTTACTAAATATTATTATTATCTAAAATCTTTTAAAATAAGTTCGCAGAAAGACTACTATTATTTATTTTAAATAAAAGTAAAAAATTCCATACATACCGTAATAATTAAAAAGTTTTCTCAAAAAAATAAAAAATTTTTTCTTTTTAACTCTAAGTTTTTAATTAGCTTTATTTGTATTTCGGTGGATAATTTATAATGTACTTTTTGAACCAAAAATTTTTTGAAATGGATATATTTTATAGTAATTGTGAGTAAATAATTTTAATGTGTCTTGTAAAAAATATAAATATTTACATTATTTTAAATTTAAAAAATTTATGGTAAATATTAATTAATTTACAAAAAAAATTTAGAAAATTAAAATTATGAAAAGTAATTAATAATTAAAATTAAATTCTCTTTAATTTTTTAAAATTAATTTCCATTTGTTAATATTGCAGAAGTTGATCCATTATTAGGTTTATATTGATGTAAAAGTACAGCAATTTTTGAAAGTGGGGATATTTTTTGTTTTCCGTTTTCTTTTTCTTGTTTAGAAATTAATGTTTGAATATATGAAGTTAATAAATCTGTTAAAAATAAATTTTAGAAAAAAATAATATTTTTTAAAGACCATCCAATTTATGTCCAAGTATTGTTTCAAACAATAAACGATTCCCGTTATCCAAAGTTAAATGAAAATATCTACAGAAAATAAATTAATTAAAATTTTTTTTTTAATTTATTTTACGTATTTGCTGATTGCCAATTTAAAAGTTGTTTAAATCCGTGTGTTCGAATATATTTTTTACTTTCCAATTCGTATAAACTCATTCCATCTCTAAAAATAATTATTAAAAAATTTTCTTTTAATTTCCCACTGATTTATTGCTATTAATAATTTAGAACATAATGTTGGATCTGCAGATTGTTTAACCTATTAATTAATTAAATAACTAAAAATTTATTATTTAAATATTTAAATTATCATTAGTAAATAAGAAGAAAGTCATCCACAAAAGGGATCTTCCATCCCAATTCCCGAAATCGGCCATTTATTCCCTGGCTCATTCCAAAAAGAGACTCAATTAATATCTAGAGACCGGCAAAATCGAACTTCCGGATCCCGAGTCAGGATTTTTTTCTTAACCGATGCCGGGACGGGATCCCGAGGGATAAATCCCGAAAAATCCCGGATCCCGGAAAAAAAATCCCGGATTTCGGGATTCCGTCCCGCGATGGTCTCTATTAATATCACAGACATTAATAATATCAAAATTCATAAAAAATTTACTTCAAAAAATGCCGACCCAAATGTCGGCTCTTTAGCAATTCTTTGGAGAAAACAAAGTTTAGCTTCCGTTGATGTTTTTGGCATTCCTTCTTTTTGTAATTCGGCAGAAATTAACTTGAAAATATTTTTTAAAATTATTTTATTTTAAAATAAAAACTTTTTTCCATTCATTTGGATTATGAGATTTGAGAAGATCTCTTTTAAAAAATAAATTAAATTATATATTAACTTTAATTTCAAATTTACATAGGTATTAATTCATGTAAAATATGTTGTAAATGTTGTATTGGAGGTTGTTTATCATCCCTAGTTTGTGCTCTTAAAATTAAAGCAGCAAATTGAATAGCTTCATTTTTATCAATTTTATGATATCCTCTCAAATATTTTGGTAATTCCTTTGAAAAACAATTAATTAAAAAATATTTCCTAAAATACTTGTGGATAATTAAAAATAATATCTTGTCTCAAATCTTTTCCAGGTTCAACATCTAACCATAATTTTCTCATAAAATGAACCTAAAAATTTATTTTTGATTATATTTTTTTAAATTTACTTGATAATTAAAATTTATTTGAGAATTAACAACTTTCCTTCCACAATTAATTACTTGTTCTCTTCTAGAATTTTTTCTAGCCCAATCTTGTATTTGATTAATAAAATCAAAAAAGTATTCTTTATCAGGCATACAAACAACTTTAAAAAATATGAGAGAGGTCTTTAATTAAAGAGATTCTACCTTTTTCCCCCAATTTAATAAATAATCCAAAGCCTTGAAGTGAATTTAAAAGGCCGAGACGGGCTGCTATTTTCTTAGAAAAATCTTTTGCACGAGTCCAACTTTCAACCTTTTTATTAAAATTAATTAATTATAATATTTTTTTATTTTATTTAATTAAATTAAAATTATTTATTTCTGTTTTCGCAAATTAATTAAAAAAAATTTTTTTCAATTTAAAAATTTATTTACTTCAATAGTTTCTTGAGTTCCATCAGGTAAATAAAATTTATGATAAATTTGTGTTTGTCTATATTGAATAGCTTCTAATTCGACTTGATGAGGAGGAGACAGACGACAATATTGTTGTTCTGTTGCTATTAATTCATTACATTGACTTAATTAAAAAACAAATTTTTGGAAAATTATTTAAATTAATTAATTGTATCGAGAATATTATTTGGAGAGAATATTCATCCCCTTACTTTAATGCTTTTTGTAATCTCATAGCACAATCAGCAGCCATCGGCACTAAACGAGTTCTCAAAAAATGTTCAACTTCCCGACACAAAAACTTTTAAAAAATATTTTTAAAAAATTAAATTATTATCAGAAAAAAACTCTAGATGGAGGGAAAAGTCCAATACAAAGCCAAATTAATTCCCAGCCACGTTCTTCACTTAAAGGATTTGGATTGTCTGTTAATTGTTTAATTAATTGACAATAAATTTCATCACGAAGAATTTCCTTTAAAAATTATTTTTTTCCAATAAAATTATTTAAAAATTTACATATTTAAGTGCTGGAGTAAATATATAATCTGTATATTCCAAATAAAATTGTTGGGGATGAGAAACATAATCTCCCATATATTTGAGAATAAAAGAGTAGGAAATTAGTGACTTTAAATTAATTAAAATATTTATTTAAATATTTTTATTTTCAATTACTTCTCTAGCTATTGCTTCATTTCCTTGTTCAGAAATTCTTTTAAGTAAAGGAGCTCGTAATGGCTCAAAAGAATGTCTCCAAAGTTCGGGTTCTGGACTACCACCACCATTATAAGCACCAAAAACGTCTTTCAAAATTTTTTTAAAAATATTTATAAACTAAAAAAATTACCAGAAGGCCTATTCCCGTCTTCTGGTAATCGAAAATTTGTAGAAGAAAATCGTTCCAATGTGTGAGGTTGGGGAAATGGTCCACAAATTCTGAGAGAGAGAAATTAATGATATTTTTGTTTAAAAATTACAAAGGCATTCCAAAAGGATCTACAGCAGCTGTATAAAATGTTGGGTATTCAAATAAATCATTATTTTGTTTAGATTCTGTTGTATTTATTATTTCTTGTTCGACAATTTTTTTAGATGAGAGAAGATTCTTTAAAAAAGCAAAATTAAATTGAAAAAATGTTTAATTAAAAAACATTTATTTTTTCTTTTGCCGGTTTTTCTGTGCAGGCCAAAATATTTATTGAATGAAGGGGAACTCTTCCACACATTTTTGAACGAGTATTTTCAACATTATCAATTAAATAATTTTCTTCTTCATTTTTTCCTTCTTCATTATTTAAATATTTATTGAGAGGGGAAGATAAAATTAATAAATCCCCCTTTAAAAGGCTTAAAACTGCTAAAATTGAAAGGAATTTTGAATTAAAAAATAATTATTAAAACAATTTTCTAAAGACTGCATTTTGTGTTGGACAGTACAATGATTGTAATCTTTTACTGCTACAGCATAAATTGAATTTTGATGAAGACCTAAAAATAAATTAAGAGAATTTTTTGAAAATATTGGAAGACTAAGATGCTGAATCTCTCATTTAGACAAAGCAGGAAAATTTTTTGAGTAAAATAAAAAAAAATATTTTTAATAAAAAATTATTTACTTTTTAAGATATGTAATAATAAATGTGACAATTCTCTAGCTAAAGGCGATTGAAAAGTATACCGATCACCATTTAATAAACTAATAAATATAGCATCAGCCCCTTCATGTTTTGATCTTTAAAATATTTTAAATTAATTATTTTCGAGTAAAAAAAACACCTTCCATATCCAATATTTGCCAATTCAATAAATTCAATTTCGAATAAAATTTGTTGTTTATTTTGATTTTGTATATCACAACAACGGGCATCTAAAAGGGATATTCCACGTGAATTTACAGCCATAGTAAGTTGATTTACGGGGAGAGGAGGGCCAGAAAATTTGTAAACTTCGAAGAATCTTTAGAGAAAAATTCATTTTAGAATCTAAATTAGGTAAATATACCTAGAAAAGTTTAATGGCCAATTTTTGGCTGCAAATTTAAGAACATCACATTTTATTTGTTTAACACTTGGAGGTAATGTCTCACCATTATTAAGGATTTTCTTAATTTTTTTAAGCTTTAAAATTATTTATTTATTTACTTTTCTAAAAGCGTGTAAAATTAATTGAATCCATTTTTGACATTCTTCCTCTTCCTCATTTATTTCTTCTCTTCTTTTTTCATTAACATCTTCATTTTGTTTTAAAATATTTAAAGGTAAATATTCACTTAAATTATCTTCTAATTCAGAAATATCTATTTCCGTAGATTTTCCGTTTATTGAAACAAAATATTGTTGAGCAGCTAATAAAGCTAAATCTTCTTCCTTAAAAATATTTTTTTGTTAAATAATATTAGGTAGGGGTTTGGAGGTACAGAAATGAATAGAAGAATCAAGGATTTTTATTAGATGATGTTAATAGGTTATTAAATTCCTAATTGAAGAATTTAGGATTTTTTATGTCCGAATATCCAAAGAATTTCAATTGACAAGACTTATTAAATAATATTAATTTTATTTATTCAAAAATTACTTTATTGCATTGATATTCTCCATAATGTAAACCTTTAATAATTTGTCTGTAAGAAAGGTCTACATATAATTCATCAGAATTACTTAAAAAATATATATAATTAATTTTCAAAAATATCTCTTACTTTTCTAAAGGTAAAAACAATTCTTTACGTAAATATAATTTCCAATCAAAATCATTTTGTTCTTCAATTAATGCTAAAGCATCCATCTAAAAAATTATAATTATTATTTAGTTTATTTAAAATCAAAATAATTAACCAAACGTTCCCCTCCAACAACTAACGAACGAATATTTTGTCCAGTAGAGAGAAATAGCCCAAACCCAAAAGATTCATTTAAATTTATTTTTTCAGTTAAAAATTCAAAAACATCGGCAATTGTTGTTTGTGAATGCTTTTTAAATTAATTTATTTTAAATAAAAATTAAATAATTCAAACAATTGGAATATCAACAATTTCTTCATTTGGCAAATTAATTTGTACAAACAACCCCGAATTATTTAAATTATCAATTGAACAAATAAAAGCAAATTCTGCCTTAAAATTATTTCTTATAGGTAATTAAAATTGAAATTTTTTTCTTATTTATTAAATTCTTGTCTTAAAAATCTTCTCGATCACTCTAATCACCATATATGCTCGAATAATTACCCTCTCTCAAATAATTACCCCCTCCAGCGAGATGTTGAAACAATAATTACCCAGAATAATTATTCGAGCATATACAATATATTATTTTATTAGACAATTATATTAATAATAATTATTTAATATTTCCACAAACTTTTAAACAAGGTTCTCTTCTAGCTCCACATTTAATTGTTCTACTCATTTGTTTAGCAATATAACGTTGCCAAAAAATATTCGGAGCATTCGAATTAACAAAATTGCGTAAATAAGGAAGTAGTCGATTTGTGGGGGAAAATGCCTAAAAACTTTTTTTTATTTAAAAAAATTTTTTCAAAATTAACAGAAGAACAAAGTGCCATTAAAATCCATCCTCTCCGAGCAGAAATAGGTGAAGGATTACAATTTATTTGTTTACATATTTGGCTATATATTTCATCTCTAATTATTTTTTTACTTTAGTTTTATATGCCAATTAATTTAATTTACCTTAATTCATTTCGATAAATCCCCACACTAACAATAAATTTAGCTTTATCAAAAGCTGTCCAATTAAATTCTCCAATCAAAATATTTTTAGCTATTTTTATCGACTTTTTTAAAATATAACCACTTTCTTGGAAAGTTTGGTAATTCTTTTTTTTATTTAAAAAATTAATTTAAAATTAATTTTTTAATTAATTACCAAAATATTTGCTTTAATATAATTAATTTCATCATCAGAAAAATCTTGGCAATAAAGCGCTTTTAATTTAGTCATAATTGGTAAAGAAGAATTTTTGTTATTTTTTGAATTTCTGCCGTCAAATGCAGCATAATCTGTTACTTAGAAATATTTTTTAAATTATTTATTTTAAATTAAAAACCATCAGAATCTCCAATAAATTGTAATAATCTACGCCAAATTGACAATGAAACTAATTCGTCTAAATGTTTTTTATGTGAAAGTAAAGAACGTTCTAATAATGTTCTTGTATGTTTTGGTGTGCATTTTGTCTATAAAAATATGTACATATTTAAAAATATTTTATTAAATTAATTTTTTGGGATGATTAATAAAAAATTAGAAATCTATAAAAGCCTTTAATTATTGAAAATATATGTATACTTTGGTTAGTATATATTGATGAATTTATATAGTTAAAGATTTATTCTGAATTTAATTTACCTAAGTATTTTTTGTGCCTCCTTTTAATTATCCCCTTTACTTTTTCTTTGACTACCTATGTATAATTTAAATTCAAAAGCAAATTACATTATAATAGCTTTAAATAAAAGTTAAGACAATTAAGCATTTAAAAATTATGCTATTGACCCCAAAAGTGTAACAAAAGAGGGGGCCGATTATAATTTAAAAAATATTTTAATAAATTTATTTAAATTAAAAAACAACAACTTGTTGAAAATTAGCCAAAGCATATTTATTCCATTTAAAAGCATCATTATTACTATTATTATTAGTAATTCGTTTAATATTTTTATTATTTAAATCTTTTTCCATATAATTTTTTTCATTTGAATTTTTTAATATTTTTAATGATCCAAAATTCTTTTCTTTAATAATATTATTTAACTAAAAAATTTAATTTTTTAAAAATTATTTTTTATTTTTTAAAAACTTCATTTTCGTGTAATTCCAATGCTGGAGGTTCTCCTTCATCTTCCATTTGACAATCTAATCTAGCCATCATAGCACAATGACGTTCAGCTCGAGTAACTAAACATTGAAGTTGATAACGAATTAAAACAGCCCGGCAATTTGCCTTTAAAATAAAAAATAAAATTTTAGAAACGAATGTTAATAATTGCCTGAAAATGAGCAATTAAAGATTTTAGCCATTGATAACGAATTACAAGTTGATGGGAACGAATTATTGCTTGTAAACGAGTAACACCTCTAATTATCTAAAAATATTAAGCTTCATTAAATTTTATAAAAATTTCCAAACAATTTTAAATTTTTTCCTTTCAACAAGCCCCCTCCAATGTTTTTGAAATATTAAAGTTGCCCAACGTAATCTAGCATATTGCTGTCTTTTTGCCCAACCAAGCAAACATTTTTGAACTAAAGCAGCACAACAATGAAGACGACGAGAACGTAACTTTAGAAAAAAGATTTTTTCTTGATTTTTTTAAAAAGGAGGTTCTAACCATTTCCAAAAATTGATGTTGTTCTGATTTTAAAAATGCTTTATTCTTTCCAAATTGTACAAATTCTGTACAAGAATCCCCAAAAATTGTTCGACAAATAAATCCAGTTGTGTGGGCACAATCACAATAATTTGGTGGAGCTAATTAAATATGTAAATAAATAATTTAATTAAAAATATTAACGAATTCCAGGCATTAAAGGCCTATATCTTCGCACAAAATAAGCATATTCCATGTGAATAGGGAAACTGGCACGGCACATAGCTACAGTGGAAAGCATATCGAATTGCCTCATTTGACGTAAAACAGTTTCGGTTTCGAATAACTTTTCTTTTTGGGCATCATTTGTTTTTAGACAACGAACAAAAAATGCTTCTGGACAGCTTTCTAGACGCCGCATAAGTTCGTTCATTGACTTATAATTTTGATATTTTAATTATAATTTAAAAATTTTTTTAATTATTTACTCGTCTAACAATTGTACATTGAGTATTTTGTTTAATTCTTTTAATTTTAAATTCATTATTTTCATTCTCATTTAATTCTTCTTCACTCAATTCATTACTTATTTCATCCCCCTCCTCCTCATTATTTTCTTCCTTATTTTGAAATATTTTTTGTAAGAATTTTAATTCGCTTTCATTTATTAATTTTGAAAGTTCTGAGGGAAAATAATCTTTATTCTTTAAAATCATTCCTTCCACCTTAAAAATTAAAGATATTTTTATGTTTTTTATAAAAGATTGAATAAGTTCACAATTTTTAAGCATAGAGCTTTGTTCACTCTATTTTTCTAAATTTTTATTTCTAATGTAAAATTTAGGTATAAAATCCCCCTTTTTAAGGCAATTTTTATCTCAATGGATTATTAACAAAGTCCTTATAATCTATTCCTAATTCACCTTATATTGTACTAATCCAGTATAGTGTCTAATTGCAAATTGATTAAGTAAAGATGATTTAGGTTTTTGGTAGAGACTTTCATTATTTGAATGTGATGAGTGGAGTTTTGAAAGTAAATTTGTATCAGAAGCCTAAATAAATTTTTTCTTAAAAATTACTTTCTTTAAAAATTACTTCGGGGGCAATACTTATATCGTCTATAACACTCATTACACTTAATGGCTGAACAGCAAGCATTTCAAGTACTTGAAGATTATCAAGGTAGGGAAGGGCTGCACATCTCTCTTCCCATTCAGGAAGGCACTGAAAATGAAAATTTATTTTATTTTAAGAGACAAAAAATGTTTAAGGAATCCCTTCTATACACAAAGAAATCGTTTTATAAATTATATTTTTTGAAAAAAAAATTATATTTAAGAATTATATTTCTTAACAATTTATATTTTTTATTAAGAAAGTTTAATATAATTTATTTAAATTTATTTACTTGTGCCGCATATTCTGCTTGTTCTAAAGTAAATATTCTTCTAATAAAAAATTGTTGTAAACATTCAGCACCATAATTAATACATAATTGTTCTAAATATATTTAAATATATTTATTTTTTTAATAAATTACCAAAATTATTCCCATTTTTCAATTTATTTTCTAAACTTTGAAAATCTGCCAATCCAACAGATACTTTAAAAATAATTTTTCTTTTTCCGTTAAAATTTAAATAAATTTACCAAATTTTTGTTGTTGACCGTTTCTCCAATTAATTATTTTATTTTCTTCATTTAATTCTAAATTAATTTTATTTATTATAAAGTTAACAATATTTGAATATATTTCTACACAAAGATTGTCTCGACGATCTACTGCCTTTTAATTTAAATTAATTATTTAAATATTTTTAATTAAAAATTTATTTTATTTCAAAGTTCCCATCGAAAGTGAGAAAGTTAAAATTATTATTTCAAAGGCTATTTATTAAAAAATTTCATTGAGTTATCGAATTATTTAAAGAAAACTGGATGAGCTTTACAATTTTTAACAGAACTTATCTTTTCTTTACTCCAAATTAAATTTAATTAAATAAAAATTCTTTTTCAAAGTACCTCATCAATAGATAATTTACGAAAATTTAATTCCTTTTCTGATTTTAAATCACACAAACTTTTAATTGTTAATGAAGAAATTAATAAATTCTTTTCTATCTAGAAAATATTATTTTTTAAAAATATTTATTTAAATAATTATTTTACTTTTAAAAGTTTACATATTCTTTGAATATTTAAACGATCATTTAATTCTAAATTTTCTTTTCCATCATAATTTTTAACTTTAAAAGAAAATTTTATTTTACAATTTCCTCTCTCTACAAACCATTATAACGTAAATTCCCCAAATGCAAAATTGCTGCCAAAAGTCTCCAAATATTTTCAATTTCTTTTTCATTAAAATTTAAATTTTTAAATGCCCCAACAACTTTAGATAATAATTCAAATGTTGGACGTGTTCTTTCACCTCCAAACATCCAAGAAGTTGTTTCTCCATTAATAAAATTTTCGCGAGAATTTCGACGATACTTTGAAATTTATTAAAATATTTATTTAAAGGGGACAAAGAAAGGAAAATTTATTTAAAATGTTTCTTTGAGTTTTTAATTTTTAATTTACTTGTGCTAAAAGTCTGTAACTAGATATCCTTCCATTTGTCAATTCAAAATCAAGTTTTTGTTGAGGACTCAATCCGGCAAGGAGGCAATAAAAAATATGGAAATTTCTTTAAAAAATAATTATTTTTTAATAAAAAAATTATTTTTACGATTCTCTAGATTGTTCAACAAAAGCTTCCACAACTCTATATTTTTCAAGAAAAAATAATTCAATTTTTGCTGACGAAATTACAATCTTTTTAAATTAATTTATTTTAAAATAAATAAATTTAAATAAAAACTTTAGATAATTCATTATTTAATTTATAATTTAATTCAAAATATTTTCCATGTCTGGAAGCATTTGAATTACGAGAAGTTTTTGCATTTGCAAAGGCTAAATAATAATTTAAATAAAAATTATTATTTTTTCAAAACCTTCAATAATTATTTGAGCAGAATTTAATTTTAATTCAAAATTTTGATTAGCAAAATCAGCACTAAGGAAATTTAAAAGTTGTTTAAATAATTCTGATTTTCCTGACTATTTTTAAAAAAATTTAATTTAAATTTAATATTTAAAAATACAGCAGTTTCTCCACTAAAAACAACACAACAATTATTTTTCCCTTTTTTAACAAAACGTAAAATTTCAGCTCCAAAAGCGTAAATATGGGGTAATAATTCGTGTGGAGGTCTTTGACGGTATGAACGGATTAATTCTTTTCTTTGATTTTCATCTTCTGAATATAAATGTGTGTCTTCTGATAAATTATTATTTAATGAAACCAAAATACGATTTCCAATAAATGTCTGAAAAATAATGTTTTTTGTAAAATATAGTTATTCTACATGATAAATATTTTGTCTGTGACGAATTTGAAAATTTCTGAGAAGAGCAGCTTCGTGTAATTCAACCATTTGAATTAAATCAGAAACCCCTTGTATAGATGTTGGATGCATTGGACGAATAGCCCATCTTTGGAATTCTGTAGCCCCCAATTCTAATTTCTTTAAATAAAAATATTTTTTATTTAATTAAATCCATTCAATCTTTTTAATTTATACATTGCTTTGATCATCAAGTAAAATAATATGTTCTCCTCCTTGTTGGTCAGTCCAAACAGAAAGTACTCTAGCAGCAATTGCTGGAAACTCCGAAGATTTTAAAATAAATTGTCGAGAGTCATTCCTTCCCAAAGCCGTTGGATCTAGCCAGACAAAATCCCCCTTTAAATAATTTTTTTAATTGAAAATAAATTAAAAATACTTTATTAATATGTGGTAATATAATCATTTAATTTTTATATTTAAATTTCTAAATTATTCTGTAAATAAAAGAATTAAAATAATAAAAAAAGGGAAGAATAAAGATAAATATATGGGTGTATTTATAATTATTTTTAGGTTAAAAATTGAGATTATTAAGCTCTATTAAATGTTTGAAAGATTTTTCTTCGAATAATTTCTTCTAAATTAAATGAAAAAAAAGTCAAAATTATAAAAAGAAATATCTAATATGTATTTGGTCTAAATGGTCTCTCACTTGAATGACCCTTTTTGGGGGTATCTAAAGATAGGCCATGTTATTAGAATTTTAAAATATAATTAAATTTCCCTTTCTTATTATTTCTAAAAAAACAAATACTATTAAGAAATAATATAATAAATATATTTTTTGTTTTTTTAATATTAACCAATTAAATATAGATTTATATATTCGATAATATAATAATTAAAATGTGGCAGATTTAAATAGAAGATGTTGATCACTCTTTTTTATATTCCCGATTTAATTCAAAACAAGAAGTACTAAATATACTAAACCCCCCGTTTATTTTCGCAGATAAAATACTGACAACAACTAGTTAATTTTAACAAAAATTGGGTCATTTAGAAATTTGGTAATTTATAATTAATATTTTATTTTCTTAATGTTCTAAAACTTGGATGGATTTTTTAAATTAATTCTTAAATAAAAAATAAATATATGGATTATACATATGGGTGAATTAAATCAATGAATTTTTTATCAAAGTGAAATTTAAAAATATAAAACTAATACTAGATATTTAAATATAAAAATAATGTTTTTAAAATGCTTGAATAAAATAGTGTCGGTGGATCCTTTAAACTCTTCGAATATAAGGAACCAATATTCGACCGAAAAGTTTAATACATTAAAATATATAAAAATAATTACAGGATGCGGAAGATCAGGAGCACTTTTTCTTTTTGCCATAACTTTCTTTAAAGGCAATGGAAATTGATAGTTATTTTTTATTTTAATTATAACAGTTTAGAAAAATTATTGTTATCAAATGTCTTTAAATTTTATAGATTAATTTGATTATTTTTTCTTAAAGTTTGGTCATATTTTTTGGTATAAATTCGACTGATTTAAAGACTGTATGTCAGATACATGTAGGCAAAGTATATAGTATCAATCAAATAAGTCTTCTAGCGATTTGAATAACGTCAAAATAAGGCAGTTTATGTTCATAAGCTCGAATATGGAATTTTGGATATTGGGTTAAAATATAGGTACTATTTCAATTCTCATCGACTTTGAAGAATGTGCTCCTACCGACCCTGTGCTATACATACATATGTACATATTTTTAAAAAATAGCAAATTAAAGAAAACTTTTTTCAACCGAATCATTTACTTCCATTAAATGGTAATTTTCCTTTAGCTTTCTCCGACATTTCTGAAGCTTTTGAATTTCCGATGTTTGTATAATTATTTGGATCTATTTAGTTTATAAAAAATTAATTTAAAAAAAAACAAAATTAGCCATTTAAATTTCATTTAAAAGATTTAAAACAGTCATTAACGGGATATTTTATTTTTAGTTTATCCTAAAGATAATTTACTTAACTTTCCATTAAGATGAAATTAATTAAAAAATTCTATTATAATTTTCCCTTAGCTTTTCCTGGCATTTTTTGATGACGATAATTATTAAAAATTAAATATTTATATACTACCTTCATTTGGCGTAATTAAATTTATTTGTGAAGGTCCAGCATCTAAATGATTTACAGAATTATAAGGATTAAAGAAATAAGGATGGGGAATTTGTTGATTTGGAATATTTTGAAATTGTTGGGTTAAATTTGTCAAATATTGTTGATGTTGATGATTTCCTCCAAAATTAACTCCTTGATGGAATGATTGGGGTACTTGATGATAATTTAATTGATTGAATTGAAGTTGGGATTGAAAGTTGTTACTTATATTTTCCATGTTTTGATTTGAAGATTGGGCTACAAATTATTTTGAAAGAGTATAATAATTTAAAATTTTTTTTAGTTTTTTCGAGGTTAATCGAAATTACTTATTTATAAATAATTATTTTGATAATTAAAAGCTAAAATTGAAATGTATTCAAATTTTTCATGTCTTTAATTTAAGCAATCCAAAATCTCTTTTAGCTTGTTTAAATTTATTTTTTATTTTTTCTGTAACAATTATATTATTTTTTAAATTTATTTATTTAAAATATTTTTAAATTTAAATTTAAAAATCTTTTTTATTAACCAAAATTGCTGTTATTTGAAGAATTTAAATGAGTTAAACTTCTATGCTGATTGTTAAATTCTGTTATGATTTGATGATAAATACCTCCTCCTTCACCCCCTCTAATAGGATAATATATTGGATATTGAGGTAATAATTCTTTTGGAAAAGGAACTTTATTTTTTTCTAAAAAATTAATTAATTTTAAATTATTTATTTACAAATATATTTACTGTAAAGTTTTCTAAAAATTTCCAAATCTTTATCAGATTTTTGTTGTTTTTCAGAGGTTTGTCCAATTTCTTTAAATCCTGTATCTAAAAATATTTATTTTTAAAATAATATTTAAAATTAAAAATTTACATTTTTGAACCATTTTTTTAAACATAGATTCATCAACAGAAATCAATTGTGTTTTGCTTTTGTTCTTCTTTGTTTTCTCTAGATTTTTGTTATTTGTTAAAAAAATAATTTTTAGAGAGGAAATTTGAATTTTAATATTTTTATGGGTTATTTTATTTAAACACAAAATCTTTTATTTTTCAAAGTCTTGGATGGGAAGGTATATTGAGGGATTTGAGGATTCTATATAAGAGAAACCTCGATAATTCTTAAAACTTTTAACAAAAATATTTTTAATCTAAAATTTATGTATTTTTTTAAATTTATTTTTAACCTTTTTCAATTGCAATTCCCTTCCCTTTTAATCCAGACTTTCCTTCATCTATATTTTTATCTTTATTTGTTTTTACTAATTTAACTTTTCCAACAAAAAACAAAAATAAAAGAAAAATAAATAAAAAATTGAAAAATAAAAAGTATTTTTTCATCCTTAATTTTACTTTTAAATTTAACTTTTAAGAATAAATAAAAATTATTTTTTAATTATTAAAATGAAAAGGTAATTAAATATACACAGTGGACATAATTTTTAAGTAAATAATTTAATTTTGCACTCCATAATTTTAAATTTAGAGAAGGAAATACATATGTCTGGGAAAAATAAAAATTATTACATAATCTACAGTCTGATTAAGAAATTTAAAGTTTAAAAGCACTTTACATAATACATAAGTCAAAAAATCAAAATGGTAAAAATAAATTTCTTTATCTTAAGACATGCGTCCCATGAGCTTTTATGTATCCCAAAAGTAGTACAAACGCTTAAACATAATGCTTGTTTGAATTAAAATGAATAATTCTGATTTCAAGTTTATTTAAATAATTAAAGTTTAATATTTAAAATTCTGTGTATTTTTATTCAAGTTTTTATAAAATACATTCAAGTTTATTTATTTCCGGATTTTATTTCAGAATTTTCAAATAAACTTGGAAATAACCTTTAATCATAATTTCAAGTTTATTTATTTTTAATTTTGAAATATGTACATATATTCTGAATAATTTCTAACCCTATACAGCAGGGATGTGCCAGTTTCGCCTTTCGCCTTTTTCTTGACTTTCGTCTTTCGCCGTTCGCTTTCTAAACTGACTTACGCATTTTCACTTTTCGCCTTTCACTTTTTAAAATCTGTTTCGGCACACCCCTGCTATACATTTACAAGGTTAAACATTTTAACTAATTTAATAAGGAAAATTGTCGGCAAAATACTGTAATTGTTTTAGCGCAAAGAACTTAAACGTCTGTTTTAATTTTCCTCCATGAAACTTGGTCAGTTGAGTATAGGCGCTTGAGAGGCAGACAGCTTTGATCGGTTATAACTTTTTTATTCTTGATCCAATCCAATCGTTTCTTATATCGACCGAAAGCTCTTGAAAAAAACTACCTTTTTTTCAACAGGATGGATCAGGTTAATCACTGCTAAGAAGGTTATGAGTCGATAATTATGAAAAACACCGAATCATTGCACTTATCGAGCTGTAACTTTTTAATGAGTATTCAGACTTGATTCATCTAGTTGGAGAAAAGATATAGCTTATATCGAGGGCTTTCGAATTATATAAAGAGGACTCGGATTAGATCAAACATAAAAAAGTTATGGTCGATTAAAGTTGACAGGTACTCTAGTGACGGACTCAACTGGCCGTTCTGTGATTCAATGAAATTTCGAAATACATACTATAAAAGGGAAACGATGGACAGAAAGATAAAGATTGTTGATGTATGAAAACTTTTGAGTTTAGGGTTGTCGGTTTCCGTAAAATTTTCCGACTGATCGAAACCTATCAGAAATTCCTACTCGGAACCCGACAATCTTAAAAAATTTTTTTAGTTTTTAAAGGTCGGAATGATTAAACACTCAAAAAACAAGAAGGTTTCCAAGTTTGCTGCTCAAAAACGGAATAATTTCAATTTCCAAAGTGCATTGTTAAAATCTTTTGGTATGCGAAAATTGTCTGATCAAGGAATTTTTAAAAAGGCAAAATTTTAAAATTAAATTTTGGTATAATTTTGTTAACTTTTAGGTGCTTTTGAATTTGAAAGGTTTTGATAAACTGATGGAATTTGGAAAAAATGTTTTGTGGGATAATAAAATTGATAAAGCTTTTCGAGCAGAAAAGGTTAAAAATTCTATTTATTGTTAGTCTAATAATACCTTTTTACTTACAAATCTTTAGGGATTCATTTATTTGGAGATTTTTTGTCAGTTTAAAAATGATTTGAACTCGAGAATTTACAAATTAAATTTCAAAATGAAAATACCAGAAAAAGGAAATATTAACATTATAAAAGCATTGAAAAGTTTCGACTATTTTCATGATTTTGAACTAGAGTCAAGTCTTTTGGATGCTAATTTTTGTGAAAATTTTAA